AAATATATTATTCTATAATATATTCTAAAATAACAAATTAAAAAAATAACAAATAAAAAAAAATTCTCGGAAAGAAATACATTCTAGACTATAATACATCTCAATGAAAAACATTGTGACTACTTTGATTGCCAGCCAATCTCTCTCAAATTTATAGCATATCGTATGGAATGCGTTGCTGTAACCGGTTCTACACATATGCAATGAAATTTCCATTCGATTGTCCGTCGCGATGAAATTTTAACATATGCATGCAACATACGTATAGTTAATACATTATATGTTTGTACAATAATATCACACCTGCGTCTGAAGGATACTCAATTATGCATGAGCGTGTGATGCTGCAAATGAATTTTTTAACTTGTTAAACTCGCATTGTAAATTTCATTCCGTCATTTCGTGTTCAAGATTCATTTTACATTGATTATACGGGAGTTATCGCAAGTTAAGTTTAGATTAAATTCTCTCCTTTTCGCGCACGAATTATCGCGTTTGCTTTCATCAAGAGATAAGAGCTTTTATTAAGTATGATATGATATGTAGATACTATACAACGCAAGTAAAACTCATAGTTGAGCAATAAGAGGCGACAGTGTTTTAGCGGTAAACGCGGCATCGCCAGATAGAAGCGAAAGTGAAAGTACCACGGGCCTTTGACAGAACGATCGTTTCCGGCGGATCGGATCGAGATCGTCGCGATGATCGCCAATGATCGCGCCCGGAATTCCGAGAATATATTTCACGACACGATGGATCCACGGCGTGTTGTAAAAGCCCGCGCTATAAAAGCGAAACTCAACTAGTCGTCCTTCGAGCGCGATAAGTTTGCTAATTTGAAGTCGCGGGACCGTGAAATTCAATAGGAATCCGGCGATAGTGATATCACAACTTACCCGAACGAATCGCGGCCGATCGAAGCCGCCATCGTCGACGACGTCCCCTGCCACGATCGGAACGTTCATTGTAGCCGCCGTCGCATCATATATAATGCTGCTCCCCGTCCTCCTCGATTAAACGTCGATCATCATCATCATCGAACTAGGTTCTATATTATATATATGTATAGAAAGCACTGGATGATACGTCGCACGGAGCAAGCATCGTTCATACGTTCACAAGTACACTTTCAGTCATAGACGCGTGCCAACCGATCTGCGAGCTGCGAGCTGTGAGAGCACAATCGAAGAATTCCAAGATCTCAGCTCGCGATTCAATTTAAATAAATTTAAATCGCGACGTAACCGTCAGCGTGAGCGCGCCGTTCGACTTCGCGCGACTCTCGATTTCGTCGGACGGTACTGACAATAAGTTAACTGCGAGTAAACCGGAGCTGACCGGAGTCGAGTGACCGCCGGGCCGAGCCGGGCCGGGGAGATCGATTAACGCGATCGTGTAGCGTCGACAGCGCACGGCCACTGATCCTCCGGCTGCTTCGGGAGTTCGGGCTTCGGGCTTCGGGCTTCGGGCTCGTTGAGCTCGCTCTCGACAGTCTCGACACTCGACTGACTCGACACACGGGACACGGTGAACGGTCGAACGGTCCAACGATCGATCGCCGTGCCGATCGCTCCGAATAGGTCGCGTATACGCTCGGTACGCTACACGAGAGTATATGCGATAGCCACGTACCACGCGAACACACTCGTGTCAGACTATCGCTCGGAACTCGGAACCTTCGGAACCCTCGGAACAGTCGGAATGCTGCAACGCGCGCCAAGTAGCAAGTACTGTACGAGCGCGCGCACACACACACACACACACGCACACTGGCGATCACGCGAGTCCGTTGCAGCGGTTCCTATATTAAAGCACAATACACCTTGATAACTTTCATGGGAGATCGGCTACGGTACCTGGATGTTATCTTAAAATGACTTCAACCCAACTGACATCAACTGAATCGATAATTAATTTAGGTAACATTTCTTTTTTATTAACATGGATTAGAATTATTAAACAATTCCAATATCGATACACCACTTTGTATTTGAACGATATTTCTTGAACAAACGCTAAAAATAGTTTCTAAAAAAAAATACAAATTAGAAAATCTTGTGTATCAGACATATATAGAAATTTTTATGATACTCTTTGAAATTTTGCAATAATAAACTTTTTTGTAAAATAAACGAAAATGAACGCCTGACAAAATGGATCTCAAAACTGTGAGGCAATAATATGCTACATATTCCTATTCTTTTTCTTTTACAGGCATTATTTATACAAAATACCTACAAATGTGATATATAAGATTTTTTAGAATCTTTTCTACACTACTTTTGTACAAAACGTTTTTCATACATTTATATGCATACTTTATGCTGTTCTAAAATGCAAACATATAATGCACGATTTTTTTATATATTTACTTGTACAAATTTATATAGATAATATTCTATATGTGGCCAGGAAAAAATAATGAGAAAAGTAACGACTCATTACTTTTTGAGTAACAGTAACGGTAACGGTAACGAGTTACTTTTACAAAATAATGTTGTCAATTCTGTAAATCTCTAATATCAATGTTGCTTGATAATTAGTGAACCACTATAATTAATCAGAATTTAATCGAAATCATTCATAGAAGACTTCAAAAAATCAATTTAATTTAAATTAATATATATACATATATCTAAGTTAAATGTATAGCATGCAGGGTGATTCGCTTGAAAATCTTAAATATTTCTCTTATTTTTTGATAATATGAAAAAATGTTTCAGATAAAAGTGGAATGGTTCGAAGAGGACATATTTTAGTCACATTGTTCTTTCCTAGGTGAAAGTCATACAGATACAAAGGTCATCTCCACTTTTTTTAAATATAATTATACGATTTTTTTTTTACATAATTTGATTCCAATTATTATTTTGCATGTGAAAATATTAAGATAGAGATATTGAAAAACCAATAATTTACGAGTTATTTTATCAATAAAATAGATCAATAAAAAAAATGTTATCAATTAAATGATAATTATTTAGAATAGGAGACCCTGTCCCAATGTATTGTTTAAATCATGACCTTGAGTGATCTCCAACAGGTTTTAGCCGTCGCTCGTTATTCATTAAAAAGTTATTGTAACAATCAAAGTTGATAATTATTTCCACGCTTTGCATGAAAAGTGGATGACTCGATTTAAGCACGAGAGGAAATATAGGATACAGATCGACACAAGAGCGATCAACTTTCTGCACGAAAGCGAGGTCCATCCCATCTTCTCCTCTAAAACGATCAAATTTCTCCTAATAAAGTAACGATAAAAGTAACAAGTCAAATCGTTAACGTTATTCAAATGTAATGTTGTTACTCATTCATTATCTACTGAAAAAAATAACGAAAACGTATTACTTCCTGTTATTTTGTTAATATGTATAGAATTATTAATATATTTTCTTACTAGAACTAATTAAGGCTCAGAATTTTTAATGAAATTTAAGAAAGAGAGAGAGAGAGAGAGAAAAGAAAATAGCCAATGCGGATGTGAGTGCGTAAAAAATTTTTTATCATTTATTCTTATCTATATAACTTACAATTAGTAAACGTTTCGATTACTTTTTTTGATCTTCTTTAGTATAATATAATATAATAACCAAATAATCATATAGAAGTAGCAACGATGATCAAGCGAAATTGTGCAAAAAAAAATAATGTTTACAAGTAAAATTCATATGCTATAATTTATTCTGTCACAAACAGTCATAAAGAAGTGAATTTGATGATTATATAGCCACTAGCACTGAAATTTAGGTTCGAGATTTGAAATATGAAATTTGAAGATTTGAGATTGGGGAAGAGATTTGAAGATGTGACTATGAATTCAGACCCTCTGTATTCTACAACTCATTATATGACATAAATCAGAACCACCAATCAAATGTTTGTTCAAAATTAATGGAATGCACAAGATAGCAATCAGATTCCTTTTTATATTTTCAAGCAACGTTTTGATTGGTCAAAGAATAGTCGCCATATTCAAGACGACTGCGCATCTTTGAAAATGGATTACCTTATATTCTTAGGGGTTGCGCCCCACATTAAAAGGAATAAGGAACAGGGAATAAGAATTTCAACCTATCAGAAATCATGTATTGTGAAATACATAGTTTCTGGGGTATTTCATAAGTTGAAATCCTTATTCTCTGTTCCCTGTTTTCTATTCCTTTCATTGTGTGCAGTCCCTTATACCCCTTATACTATGGCTCTGCTAAAACTGGAAACACAATGAAAAGCACAGGCAATAGGAACAGGGAATAAGAGATTTCAACTTATTATTATAAACCATGAATAATAGAATGGACGCTTTCTGATAGGTTGAAATCTTTTATTCCCTGTTCCTATTGCCTGTGCTTTTCATTGTTTCCAGCTTAAATTGTTAATTTCAGAGGTTTTAGGTTATGTATCTAGACAAAATGATAACAAAATTAACTTAATCTATTGCATTAATAAAACAGTGTTTCCATAAAACAGCCATTTTTTCATAAAGTTCTTCATTTTTTTAAACCTTTTAAAAGAAACGAAATAAATAAATGAATATGAAGTACTTATGAAACATCAATAATATATGTAAACATAATCTACATGTTATCACATAATTGATGCCTACACAAAATATTTCATACATTAACTTAAGTGTAAGAAATCGAATGAAATAATGCTGAAAGTGGATCAATTAATATAGATTTCAATACAAAATTCAGTAATATTTCATCATTATTCTATTACAATTTAGGAAAAAATTTCCATCAGGGATGTGACAAGTAAAAGGTCAAATTTTATCGGGGACAGTGATATTAAAGATTACAAGTATCTATTGGACATATGTATATCCAGTGTATTGCAGTAACTGATGATCGCTAATAAATATTAATATATATATATTTTACTATTTTTATTAGCTAATAAGAATAAAATTAATAATGTTATTAGAAATATAATTTAAGTCGGAAAAAGCATGTAACAAACTAATCACATATATTTTTAAATAAATAATGACAATATACTTTTCATATTTCTAATTCCTATTATTTTATTAAACAATTAAGCTATTAATCTAACATTAAGCATTATGGTTCTTTTTCATCGTGCAAGACATACTTCTTTATCATGTGATATCCCATTCCTATTGTTAAACAAGCTATTGCTGTTCCTTGGGCAGCAACTCGGAGTTGTATTAAATATAACTGTGTAGATATCTTTTTCTTCTTAAAACCATAAATACCATAGCCACAGATACCTGCTAAACTTATTAAACCTATTTAAAAAGCAATACATGCATTAGATATTAATGATAAATATATATATTTTAGATATATTTTGAAAAAGCTCACATACTTGCAATAAGAAATGGTGATTTTTGTCCTTTCTCTAGCAATCTCTCTGACAAAGTTTGATCAATTATTATGTCATCATCAGTAGTAGCCATTTTTAAAAAAGAATGTAGTGATAACTAATAACAGCTAATCTGAAAATGGTGATTCATCCTGGATTAATTTGATTATAAAATTTACTTAGATTAAAAGTTTTGTAAAGATAAAATCATTTTCAAAAAAATTTATCTTATAGATAGTTCTGTTTATAAAAATTTACTTCCGTTTTTTAATATTAAATTAATAAAGTGTAAAGATATAAATATAATAACCGCCAAATAATTTCTATCAGAGCAGCATAATTTTGTCTGTATTACGCATTATAATACCAGTGTTTCTTTGATTATACAATTTAATTTTCTTTTTCAATCTCATTTGAATTAAATCTAAACATCATTAAATGTCATCAAGTTCAATTAAATTTAAATTTTTCAAAGTATACATAATTTTACAAAATTTTATTAAAAAATAAAACGATTTAACATTTTTGTAGTTTCCATTACCATAGTTACGAGAGGTGACTGTTGCTTTAATTACGTATACTCACAGTTAATTCGAGATTATCATGATAATTAATAATCATATTAATTAAATTTTATTTCTCTCAGCAATTAAAAATTAAAAATTAATACACATTATATTCATAATTGGATGCTTTCTAGCAAAGACACAGACACTGTGCAACACTGTGAAAACAAGTGAATCGTTTCATCCTTGTTTAGCATAGGCAAAACGGCCAATAAAGATGTAATAATTCACTGTTACACTGTGTCCGATTGTGTCCTTGGAAAGCACTTATTATCTGGTAATGAATATTCCTACCCAATTTTGATGAAATTCGATTTCAATCGATGCAGTTTTACACGAAAGAATCTGATAAAAAGAAGTGTCGCTCTGCTCCGTGAACCGAGATATTAATCGTTAAAGTTGACGACTATTCAGGTTAGGAAAAACTGTCGGCTATGGAAAAGAAGACCGAAACCTCTTTGGATCCTTCTCTCATTCTCTGATCATCTGATGCAATGTGTTAGCCGGGCCGTTAGTTTCAGACGCATGCGCGTCCAATGTAGCTTCAGTAACGTAACGTTCACTAGTAAATAGATTATTAGTCGCTTAGGGTTAAAAATATTGAAAATTTTAATATATTTTTCATATTTTACATATGTGTACATATATATATTTTTATATATGTATACATATGTAAAATATGAAAAATATATTAAAATTTTCAACATTATTGAAAAAATTTTTCATAGGCGACTGATCTTCTATTTACTAGTGATCGGTACGTTTCTAAAGCTACATTGAACGCGCATGCGTCCGAAATCCGTCTAAGAACACTGATCCGATGGCTCTGATAGCGGAGAATTCCTTCTCTCTCCCTACGTGGGAGAGGGGGAGGGAAGAGAGGAATGGAATTCTCTGCAATCGCCAATCGCAATTCGCGAAATACAAACGCATGTACATGTCAAGGTCAAGGATAGCGAAAGATTCTCGCCCCGCTCTCCCGTCCATCAAACCAAAGTCAATTTTTTTTTTAATTAAATTTCGCTTAGTATGCCAAACTAAAAACCCAATGAATGATTCCACAAGAGTTTATAACTTTTCACGCATAGCAAGAACAGAGGAGAGACCTTTTTCGTGACAGATTTCCTAACCTGAAAAGTCGTCAACTTTAATGATTAATTAATATCTCGGTTCACGGGGCAGAGCGAAACTTTTCTACCAGATTCATTCATTTCACGAAAAAACACGTCAATTGATATATTTTTTATCCAATTTTATGATTCTATATGCTGGGTATTAATCGTGAAACTTTTTTCCTAGGATGAAAAGTGAAAAATCTTTCCATTAACTTCAATGGTTAAAATTTTCACCTTTCACTTTTCATCCTAGGGATAAAGTTTCATGATTGATATCCTGAACTAAACAATTATTATCCAGATTACTTCACACAAAGGATCAGACTAATATAAGTAATACTTCTATATTATATGAATATGAATAGTCGTCAGTCGAGTTCTCAGCGGGGCACTCAGCGAGTCAGCAGGGGTCCAATTTCTAAAGCCTCATGTACACGATGCTAGAAATCGATCCGAGATTTCGGACAAAGAAAGAGTAAGGGTGAGATCACACGGTGCGGAAAACGAGTACGGAATAGAAGTAACCAATCAGCGTTATTCTGCGTTATTCCGAATGGCGCTAATTGCTTGTTTCACTGACGCATTCTCTATTCCGCAGCCTTTTTCCGCACCGTGTGATTTTACCCTAACAAATCACGTTTGAATAATTTGACCAATGCGATTGATCAATTTCACAATGGAAGGGAGAATATGGGTGTCTCTTTTTAAATCTCTGCCCTCTCCGTTTAATATAGTTTGTATACCTGCATACTGGACGCGGCGAGCGATATCCAATGAAAATTCTGTTTTAAATCGTCATGTGAGAAAAAGCAAAGGTTTAATTGACGTCGCTCGTCGCTCATCGCTTATCGTGGCTGGTGTGCAGTAGGCATTAGTCGAGAACTACAAGAAGTGTTTTATGCCCGTATTCATAGTCAGACCTTGTACTTAAGACTTCCTTAAATTTATCTTTAGATGCTCAGCAGTCAATGAAATAATTTGTAGAGTATCTAAAGATAAATTTAAGGAAGACTTAAATATAAGGGCCTGACTATGAGTACGAGTATTAAATTATAAGCCGTAAGAAACAATTACAGTCAATTACCGAATGTCAGAAGAATAATCGATTATGATTTGTATATTTCTTATTATTTGTATATGGCTTAAAGCATAAAAAAAATCTATTATAGATTCGGGCTATAGAAATATTGTCTGCGGTAGCCCTTATGCTTTTTACAATGAGTCGTAAGTCGTAAGCCGTAAGAAATTGCCAATCACAGTTAAGTATGAAAAGAATAATTGACTATAAGCTATTCTACATTGGTCGTATCGTAGCGTCGGAAGCGTCGTAAGCATCATGCAACTTTAAAATTGAAGCATCGAATTGGTTGAAGCAACAAGCTTGTGACTTGCGACGATATGATCAATGTAGTATGATCATAAGATTGGTTAATTTCTTATGGCTTACCGCTTACGATCGTATTGTAGAACAAGTCTTATGTGCCTTCTATAATAAGCCATTAGTCATAAATCAGAAGTTAGAAGTTGGAAATTGACGACTGTGATTGGTCAATTTCCAACTTCTAACTTCTGATTTATAATTAATGGCTTATTATAGAATGCGTGTCAATTTTTAACTTCTGACTTCTGATTTATGACTAATGACTTATTGTAGAAGACCTATTAAGTAAAGGAGTCTTTTTATGCTGACGCTCGACACTCATTTTCAGTGTCAAAATAAGTCACGCGATCAAAATTGACGCTTGATATTCGTCAATTTCTATCACGTGACTTATTTTAATGTCGAAAATGAGCGTCGAATGTCAGCATGAAAAAGCATCTTAAGAAACTGACCAATTACAATTGAGTGCGAGAAGAATAATCGACTATGATTCGTCCATTTTTATGGCTTAAGGCTTAAAAATCTATTGTAGATCCAGGCTTACAGCCAATATAAAACTTCTTAAAAACCCTCGGTGGAATAGAGATCTTTGGCTGTGAGATCAAAGTCTCCCTACAAACACTTTGAAGCGTTTAATGGACCAATTAGAAGAAAGAATTTTGCAAACTGACCAATTAAAAACTCTTCAAAGCATTTGTAGTATCGCGTTGACCGTATCCTTTGTCGTACAACAAAATTAATATTAAATCCTAATCTAATAAGAAAACAAACATCATGTGTCGTCGATTTAAGAAAGTTACTAGTTGGTACGAGTATCAAATGAGATCGATGTAAATTAGAATACTAGGCCTTTGAGAACAACACTAGCTAAAGTGGCGCAAACTTCAGAGGATACGATACTGTATGTATGATTACGATACGATACGATACGATAGAGTACGAACATGGGTGGGTAAAGAGTCTCGGTCAACATTTTTTCTCGTCGATATTGCGACGTAGCGTCAATGAGTATCATCTCTTTGTTATTCTATTGTTTCTTATATTACGATTATTCGTGTTCTTCCATGATATTCTCTATTTTTATTGTCGATTTTTGGAGTGTTTCCAAAGCGAGAATATCCGAATTTGCTATATTCTCGACAGCCGACATATTGGTCAACGACGGACGAAATTCAAAATCGTCAAGAATTTCCAAGTGATGAGCCGACGTCAGAAGACTGATATGGATTTGTTGTTCTTCTCTTCTATTGATGAAGCCACGAAGATATGGCTCGATACTCTGCATCGAATGTGGACGCTGTGTAAGCATTTAATTTTATCTACTACATTTTATCACTCGATCGCGTACATTAAATGTGCAATCGTATCAATCGTAGGGAAAAAATGCGATGGTGTCAGCAAAACATTGACGGATTACTTCGAGACGGCTCCAAATCCATATCTTAGCACGTTAAGAATTATGGTCAACGTTTCGGATTTTGATCACATGACAAACAACAAGTCACTTGCATTTGCAGGTTTATTTTTTTTCCTTTTTATATAAAATATGTTTGCAATATATAATATGTAAGTTATAATTTATTAACTTAGCTAATATACAAGAAATACTATGTAATAATTTATGTTAGGAACATATATTTCTAATGACTTTGATAATTATATGAAAAAAATGCATATAAACTAATCAAAATAAGTTTCCATTTTTGTTTCTACATATAAAAATTAAGATAACATGTTTCTCAATGTTGATAATTTATAGAAGTAATTTCCTATAATTATTAGACAATATTTTGAAAGAGAAAGATATATTATGTGTAATAGACTTCAATTCTAATCTCTTTAAAATCATAGGCTTTTTATAATTTCGATTATATTTCAGTGATAGAAGAGTTTTTAAATTGGATAGAAGAAAGAAAAGAAGGATACAAGGAATTTCTTGTCCCTGATTTGAAACTAGCAGCATTTAAATTAGTAAGACAGAAACATATGAAACAGATGGTGTTAATGGAGAAGATATCTGTTATATATGATTTTGTAGAACATAAAGATATATTCCTACATACAATAGAGGTGTGTTGCTAGAAATATAACCATCTGTACTTATGTACACACAAATGTGTGTGTGTGTGTGTGTGTCAAGGTTGAGCAATTTGTTTACTTTTTTACTTTTCCATTATTTTGCCATTACTTTTATTACTTTTTATAGTAAATAATTTGAAAAAATGATGCGTTACTTTTTTCTAACCCTGATATGTGTATACATATATATATTTACATACATATACTTTTTCAGGATATAATACAAGAAAAAGAATATAAGGAAGCTGCACAATATATAGCAATGTTACAATTGCAAAGTCATTTTATGGATCCACAAATATTATTACTACCTCTTATACTACAAAATAAATTACAAATAGTTGACAAATTTTTAACAGGCTGTCCAGAGGTTCAAAAATCCTTAACAACTTATTTAGACAATTTAATAGCACCAGGAAAAAACATACAGGTTATATTGGAACAATTTGTTTAGTAAGTAATGTATTCATTTTTATTAAACACCCAAATCTAATCTGATAATTGTTAATATAATGGAGATTTTTACTGAAGTGAATTTTTTCAGTACAAATGATATACCAGAAGTTAAGATATCATTGACACAAATTCGGCCAATAACCAAGCTTATTGCACGTTTAATAAAGCAATATAATTTATCACCCGATGTATGCCCTCATTTAAATACAAAACGAAACGAAGGAGCATTGCAATTCCTTATACATAAGCGCTATGTGGATAATAGTTTAAGTAATTATCTATATTATGATAGATAACTTTTTCTATATTACGATTTAGAAAGATTAATCTCATATAAAAATAAAAATTTTTTTTATTTAATTGTTTTTATTATGTAGATATTGCCAGTTGGAGAGAAATGGTAAGAGAAGCAGTAGGAAACGATGCCAAATTACAAACAGAGTTACTAAGTATGTTAATTAACGCTAATGATGCACAAGAAGGATTATATTGGGCAAAGGAATACGAAATACCTAAAGATGAATGGCCATGGGCTATTGTACATATAGAAGAACAAAATGCACCATGTAATGCTTTTATCTATATTTTTATATTTGCATTTTGAAAAATACCTATAATATTATAGTTTGCAGTGGTAAATGAGGGAGCTTCGACAAGTAGAGATAAAACTTGGGAACCAAGTGAGGATAATGTAAATTATCATATTTTAAAATTACCGAGAGAAAACATCAAATTAGTAGATAATGGACGATTATTCGAAGAATTCCTTGATAATGGATTGAGGGATGTTAATATAGTTGGAATTGATTTAGAGTGGAAACCTAGTTTTGGTAATTATAATTAAAATCTTAACATGTAAATAAGTTACAGAACAATATATAATTTTAATTAAAGTAAAATGCATATATTTTATCAGGAACTAAACAACCTGAACTAGCACTTATGCAAGTAGCTACTGAGGATAACGTCTACATTCTGGATGTAACTACTATTGGCGATAAATTACTTGAACTCTGGAATGAACTTGGTCTTGTATTATTCGGAAATAAAGATATTATCAAGATTGGTATGTGTTTTCAATTATCTTCATTATTTTCAAAATCGTATATTGTCTGTATTATTTTAATACATATTTTAATACAATGTATACATGTATTATATTTTACACTTATTTTGGAAATAGAATTAATTTTATGATACAAATGACATATTCAATAATGTAAATGTGAGAGATATTAAAATTATATATTAATAATAATATAATAATTTTGATATAGGCTTTGGAATAGCACAAGACATGACTGTAATACGTAATAGTTTACCTGCTTTATCGTCCATTAAAACACATGGCCAAGGATATCTTGATTTGATGCTTTTATGGAGAAAATTAGTAGAAGAATACAATTTTGTTTTCCCATACAAGGGTGATCCAAATTTCACAAACAGAAGTTTAAGTAAACTTGTGGAATTATGTTTCGGACAAAGACTCGATAAATCTGATCAGTTTTCAAATTGGGAACTGAGACCATTGAGGGAAAGTCAAATAATATATGCTGGTTAGTAATCGTTTTTCTATCTTCTATTTAATTTGATTAATATATGATCTTTTCCATTACTACATATATGTGTGTGTGTGCGTGTGTGTTTATTATGTGACAGCACTAGACGCATATTGTTTGTTGGAAATATACAATGTACTAGCAGATTATTCAGCAGATATGGCCATACCGTTTGAAGATATTTGCGCTGAAATACAGCATATTCCGCATGCACATACAAAGACTAATACGAATAAAACTGCATATAAGGTATAAGTTGCAATAAATTATATTATATTAACATATGAATGTAACATAATAACACTTTAGTTAAAAAAAACAGTAATTTTTTTTCATTTAAAAAATGAAAAATATTCCATATAATCTCACGAAAATATTATCTTTATTATGAAGGAAAACGTTGTTTTTATTATTAAATATATATCTTTATTTCTTCCTTTGCTATATTATCCTTCAAAGATACAGAATAATTGATTTATTTAAATATACAATATGTTTGTCTTTATCTTCTTTTGTATAAGAATAAACATTTTAACTTCTCGTCTGCAATCATATTTTTACTCTCTCCGTCCAGTCCAAGGTTCCCCCCCCCCTTTTTTTATTATAAGTCTTTAAGAAATGTGGACAAATTCAGGGCTAAAACATTACCAGATAGATTTTTAACAAGATATTTTAGAAAGGGGGAACTAGAGACTACCAGTTTTTTTATTTGGAAGAAATTTATAAGTGAAATTTTGTTTGCTTATGTCAAAATAGATTGCAGATAGAGGGTTAACAAAATATGTTAGATTAATTTAATTATATTTCTCATATTATTTCATTATTGACCATTTTATAGAAATATACATATTTAAATCCACCAATACCTAATAGAGACAATGAGGATTATCGCATGAATGTAGTAGGAACTTCACCAAAATATGGTATAGCACACAAGTCTACATTCAAATATGGGTATAATAAACAGAATCAAAATAGATCTGTATATCGTGAATCAACCAGTGACAACAGATATGATAACCAGAGAAAATATGATAATCACGATAATCATAATCGTGACAGAAGTGCGCATACTAGAATAATTCAAATAGTTAATGATAGAAGACGCGATGACCAAAGACGATATGATAATCATAATCAGAATAAACATGCAAATGTCAGAATGAATCAAACATCCAACGGAAGATACGACAATCAGAAAAGATATGATAATTACGATAATCATAATAAATATGATCCCCAGAGTAGACGTGGTGGTAATCAAGGTAGACGCGATAATTATAATAGATATGACAAACAAGATAGATGGGAAGATATTCAAGGTAGACGAAATATTCCAAATAGACAAAATAATACGAATAAACTCGAGCCCATACAACAACGGAATTGCGATTCAATTCCTGCACATACATGGCGCGTTGTATGCGATTCAATGTTGGGTGGTTTAAGCAGCAAATTGCGCATGTGTGGTATAGATTGTATACATGTATTATTTGATCAAGGAGGAGATGATTCCGCGAGATTGGCAATGCGTGAAAATAGGATTCTACTAACACGTAACAAGAATTGTGAAAAAGTAAGATCTGTTCTTGTATTATGTTAACATTTAATTTAGATCTTATTTTAATATTCTCTATTAGTTTAAGCAGTATCTACCGCTGGAGAATTATTATAGAATAATGGCCGACACAGCTGACAACCAGCTACGTGAAGTTTTAAATTACTTCGGTATTGTGGTAACACAGAATGATATTTTCAGCCGATGCCAAATATGTAATTTCGATGAATTCGTGAAAGTTCCAAAGAAGCTAATGGATCATCTTATGCAAAGGTGAATTAATTTATTGAATTATTGACTTATTGATATACATTTCTTCCTTTCCTTTTTTTCAATTGCATATAATAAAAATTTTATTTTGATTTAGCTTCGTGAAAATTATAAGAAGAAACAATTATCGAGTATTGCCTAATCGAGCTGATAATACATTAGAAACAGTTGCTGATAATTCCGATTTGAACGATGATTTCGATGAAATTGTTCGAAATCCAAATAATCATTTTACAAATAGCGAACATCGTACATGGCGTTTGTCCACAGATACTCTTGATATTGACGCATGTACGACCAGATACAACATGCGAATACAAATTGATAAAGTCCCACTAAACGTACTGAAAAATGTGCAGATTTTTTACATTTGCGAGCATTGTGGAAAGGTTTATTGGGACGGCTCGCACTTGGAGCGAGCTCTTAATGGAGTTATCAAAGATTTAATTGTTAAACAATAAGTATCGATATTAAATGTGATAGAGGTGCAGAGAATGTAAGTTACTTTTCCGTTACTTTTACAGTTACTTTTTATAATAACAATTTTTTATAATGATGTTGCAATTTTTTATGACTGTAATGATGACTAACTAAGGCTGGGGTTACCCCAAGAAGTCATTTTGAAAAGTAAATTGCCATTACGCGTTATTGAAAAAAAGTAATAAGTAACGAGTAAAGTTACTCATTACAAGTTACATTAAAAAATAAATGAGTCACAAATTGCGAGTTATTTTTTCACTAACGAATGACTTTTCCCGCACATATAAATAACTACTGACTGTTCCAACTCTCATATTATATTAACATCATAAAAAATTCGCAACGTATTACCAAATCGTTATTACAACAAGGTAACTAAGCAACTAAGTAATGGCAGTTACAGTAAATAGTTACTTTCATTCCCTGTAGAGGTGCATGCCTAAAGAACTGGGTACATATTATACAAATTATTCGGAAATGATTCCGATCGGAGTTATTCAATTATTCCCTAGATTTTTATTGTGTTTTCTAAGAGAAACGAAATAATATCGATCGGAATTCATTCTGACTTGTTTCATAATAGGTGCCCTGGCAAAGCACAAATAAAAAATCAAAATCGTCCTTAGTTCGAAACTTCGTAAACGCTGTTCCTTCAATTTATAATGCCAATGATAAATATGCAATATTATCTCGCTTATTCAAGATGTCCCCCCCCCCTCCCCCGGCCATAGTAATGTGTGGCATAGACATATAATTGTATCGTTATATTATTACCGTTATTCCTTATCTTTTTTTTTAAGTATAATATATTCTATTTTGTTTATTTTAGCTGTGCTATATACATAAGGAACGTCATAAAGTAATATAGTCTGATCAACTTTATTTTGACAAAATTGATCATTATATTAATCACATTACGATAAACTATCTTTTCTTAAATAATTTAATGATTACTGCTAATAACTATATCATCTTAATATAAATATTATAAATTATTAAATAATCTAAATAATTTTTTAGAATTTATATTTCTAATCTTTCTTTTTAATATTGATAAAATAATGATTTTTCCGAATACAAATTATTTCATGATTAATAAAAACCACAGATAAGCAGCTTGAATTGCAACTTCTGCTTTCAACTTACACGACATGTTTGACATATATTAATATTTTTTATATAAAAATGAATCAAGTGCAAGTACTTAAAGTATCTATTTTGCTGCATATTTAGTCTTGTAATTATCTCTCTAAAATTCATAACAAAATGCCCGTTAAAATTCAAAACAATGTTTAATTTTTTGACATAAAGTATATATCTTAGTTATTCATACACAATATATACATATATTTAAAGAGATCTATTTTTATTGAAAAAAAATGAGAAAAAAGTATTACTGACCATATGAAGCATTTTAGATTTAACAATTTTTTAAATCTATATTTCCTATATTTTTCAACTATGTATGTATGTGTCATAGCAAAACTTTGTTTCTACTTAACTAAATAACGAAATAAAAATATAATTCTTCCATTTCCATGATTTTAATTATTACCACTATTTAAATTTAGTTTTGGGCTACAGAAATTAAATGCGATGATGAATAAAGAATAGACACATAGTGCGCGCGCGTGTGTGTGTATGTATGTGTGTGACAAAAGTATTTTATAAATCTACAAAATTTATTAAAAAATGGTTTAATATATTCAATATATTTTATCTCTTACTAATTTTTATACAGAATAAAATATCTATATAAATATCTATATAAAAAATTTTAATACATTTCTCACTCTACAGGTTCTCTCTCTATCGAGGGAGATTCTCTAGCTGGATCAGAATTTTCAAATTCTGCAGGTTCTACAAGTCGCTTCTTTCCATAGGGTGGCGGTCCAATTAATTTTTCTACGTCGTCATAGAACAATGTTTCCTTCTTCAATAGAGCTTCTGCAAGCTGTGCTCAATAAAAATATTTAATAAAACTTCTATTAGGGAATCTCCACCTTGACCTTGATATTCAAAAAGCTTTAGCCGTTGTTTATTAAAGTTATTAACAAAAGTTTTTAAAAAAGATAATTTTTGTTATTAGTCTATGTGAAACCTTGCTTTACATTTTTATACGAATGTGCATGCCCATTTATATATTAAATTAAATCTTCACCTTATTAAATGAATCAATATAAAATACTAAAAATAATGAAAATGAAAAGATCAAGACAGCTCTCTATACAAGGTAATGGTATATATTGAATATATCGCTGAGACACTATCTTCTAAATCTTTACCTTACTAAATATAAATATAAATAAATTAGTCTATAATATACTAAAAATCTATAAAATATTAAAAATAATGAAAGCTGAAAATATTAAATAAAGTAAGGCATATCATGCATGCTACAAGCAAAGCCATAGCACATATTGCTATCGATAATACGTATCATCTCATATACTCAATACTCATTCATATTCTTTTTTTTTTAATCACAATATACTTTAATTGCCATTAAATTTTTTGTCACAATTAAAAATTATTAATATGATAGACAAGGAGAAGGTTGCCTCCACCCTTCTTCATCATTCTGCACTTCATACTGGGAGATACATGCTTCTTCCGGAGCCCTAATGCTCGTATCAGACTACGGATTAACGATTACGATTAACGGTTACCTAATTCTATTTAAATTAATCACGATGTAGCAAATCCATTGTAATTGGCTAAAATAGAATCGGGTAACCATCAATCGTAATTGTTAACTCGTAGTCTGATACTCCTCTAATGGTGCTTGTATGAAACAATATATATTCAATACAATAGATATATTTAACAGATATGTCCAACACGCATGGTGTTAGAAAACTAATTTTGAAACTTTTTTTGTTTATAACTTTTTAATAAACAACCAGTAATGGATAAAACTTTTTGATTGTTAGTCAGAGTTATGATCTTGATAATATACATCAAGGCCAAAAATTGGAGGGGCTTCACGCAAACTTATGCGTTATTGTGTAATTATAATCCTAAATGTATGTCCAAATATACATACTATATCTAATTTGTCTTTGTTATCCAAAAGCAACTGTTTAGTTCGTTCATATGATTCGCCTATTATTCTTCTTACTTCGGCGTCCATTAAATTTGCTAATTTTTTACTATATGGCTTATTTTTCTAAAAAAGATAAATTGAACATGATATGCTCGCAAATATAATGAATAGAAAACTCACACAGAAATACTATTTCATACCGTAGTACGTTCTTCGTCGAAAGAAACTAAACCCACAGCTGGACTCATTCCAAATTGTTGGACCTGAAGATATGCCGTTTTTGTCACAGTCTTCAAATCATTTTCGGCGCTTGTCGAGATTTTATCGAATGTCACATATTCCGCAACTCGACCACCTAATGTCATACACATGCGTTCGAAGAGTTGCTCTTTACTATGGAACTTCTGATCAGATTGAGTATATTGCGCAAATCCCAGTTTTAAATTTGTTCGTGGTACTATCGTTACTTTGAGCAAAGCATCGGTATGTTCCATTAACCATCCTACTAACGCATGACCAGCCTCATGATAGGCGACGATGCGTTTCGTGGAAGGTGTTAACGGATTATTTCTCTTTGTCAAACCACCAATCGTTCTGTCAATTGCGTATGTAAGATCGTTACTGTCTACTTGTTTCTTCATATCCCTCGCAGCATGTAGAGCGGCTTCGTTACAAACATTTGCTATGTCAGCACCTGAAACATTATTTATTCGTGCAATTATTGAAATAGTATTTCAACTTATTTATATATATATATATTGGGTCATCTAAAAAGTATCTGCGGTTTTTTGTCACTAGATGTGTGTTGATGGTCATATGTCTAGTGACCGCGGATACTTTTTAGATGACCCAATATATAAAGCTCTTTTTAAAATAAATAAGTGCAATACCACTGAAACCGGGTGTAAGAAAAGCTAGATATCTCGAATATTTCCAAGGTTTGTCTTCTAGAGATATCTTTTTTAGATGAGTCTCGAAGATCTGCTGTCTTTCCTCCAACGTGGGAAGATCGATTAAAATGTGTCGATCAAATCTGCCAGGTCTCAATAATGCCTTGTCCAATACTTCCGCCCTATTCGTTGAGGCCAATATAATGACATTTTCTTTTGCTATCATTCCATCCATTTCGACTAAAAGTTGATTCAACGTTCGTTCAGATTCTCTGTCACCAATTCCGAGTGAGCTTTCTGAACGTTTTTTGCCAATTGCGTCAATTTCATCGATGTATATAATACTTGGTGCTCTAAGGAATTAAAGCAAATATTAAAGTATTATTAAAATAAACTTAAGAAAGAAACAGACAAACCTCTTTTCAGCCTCTTTAAACAAATGTCTGACTCGAGCAGCACCTAAACCACCGAATACCTCAATAAATTCGGAGCCATTCATAGATAGGAAAGGAACGCTCGCTTCAGTCGCCACAGCTTTAGCTAGTAATGTTTTACCGCACCCAGGAGGTCCCAAAAGTAAAACGCCTGAAAATAGGATTATATTTTTAAAATTCAATTTTATGGCATAAACTTAGAATGATGTTTTATTTATGTGTTCCAACAAGCGACACGATGCGACACAATGATCATGTCATCTTTGTTTAACATTGGCAAACAACAAGGATGTAATGATCCATTATGTCATTTGTGAAAGGCACACATAAATGTGTGTGTGTGTGTGTGTATTTAGTGTACTTGCCTTGTGGTATTTTAGCGCCCAGTAATTTATACCGTTCTGGTTTTTTCAGATAATCAACAAACTCCATTACTTCTATTTTAGCTTCCTTTAATCCAGCTACATCTCCAAAACGTACACCTTTACCCTTTCCCATCAATGGTTCGACTAGAGTAAATTTTGCCTGTTTCATTTGCGAAATAATTTCGAAAGGTTTAAAAGAGAAACGTTTTCTCACAAAACTAAAAGCGATAGCGGCTATCAACGCAATAAGTACAAGTCTTATGACATTCGCTATATATTCTATCTTCCTTTCGTAAATTACTTGTACTCCTTGGCCTAAAATATTTTATTAAAAGATTGTCATTCTAATGCATGGTGTTTATTAATACTTTGCAAGTGATTTATTTACCTGCTTTTATGCCAAGATTTTTTTCCACCTTCCTCAGTTTCTCTTCAAAATTATCAATACTTGGAACAGCCATATGATATCTCTTGTACAAGCTTCTCTTTCCTTTAATAATAGCACCATCGTGCACCACAATTATAACATGGTCAATAGTAGGATTTACAATAATCGCTTCGACTTCTCCTTTATTCAACATGTCGTATACAAATTCATTCCAGGAGACAGAAGCTGCAAGCTATGTAAACATTGTAATACTTTATACTTCTTAAATAATTCCTATGACAAATGTTGTTGATAAAAAACTTACTTCTGAATTTGAATACATTTCTAGATGGTATTTCAATGCAATTAATGTAACATATATAAGCATAAGCCACATGGAGAACTTAGTGAGAATTGATTTCATATCTTCATTTTCGTCAGGCTTCTTGTCTGAATTATCTACGCCTGATTTCTTTGGTGATTGTTTATTGGAATTACTACATGTAGTATTAAAATATCTGATACTATTAAATCTTGGAGAAAAGTTAAATTTATTACAGCATAACAATGTCGATTGCACAGTATGCAATTCTTTACGAATTTTCTTATAAGCCTAAAAACAAATCCAGCAAATTATTAACATACATCTAACAGTTTGCAATCAGATTCAAATAGAATATTACAACAGATTGGCAGTTGCATTTGCATTAAGCTTGTGTTCTGCTAGAGGCTGCTGACATAAATCTTATGATTATCAGCAAAAATTAGGCAGAATCTATCATTTTGTAACCATTTTAATAAAATATATTATTTAAATTGTAAAATGGCAGACTGTTCAATATTTGCATTTAAATTTGCCATCTTATTCTATATTAATAAATTTCGCTACTTTTACTGGATTTTTTCTGACAAAATTTGTAGCAGAAATTGTGCCTTGTAAAATCTGTTTCCAAATAAACTTTATTATGTAGGTGTATATTCTCATTAATGATTTTCTTTTCTGTCAAATATATCTATATTATATCTATATAAAGATTCAGGCTGATTATTATTACACTGGAATAACTAAATTTGTCAAAAATAAATTTTATAAGTATCTGCTACAAATTTTGTCAATAGAATGCCAGCAAAAATATAAAGAATCTAACAGAATGTAATAGATTGACCACAGAAACTGAGCAAACTCTACTCCCCTTCTTTCATTATTATTTAAATGATTTTATTTTAATATATATATATATATATATATATATATATATTTACACACACACACACGAAATGATGAATTGATTCTATTCGACTTTTGTTGACAATCTGTTAATTGGAGGTCTGTTTTTTGTGGCTGAACTAGTGTACACTTTTGCAACTTAAAGTTAGATATGTGTCAAAAGCAAGAGAGTTCTAATGCAGTCTAGTGCAGGAATAGATAATAGATTATATCACAAATTCTGCTGTATTTATTAAATAAGAATTTAAGAATGTTTTAGCTGTACAATATTAGCTACTATCAATCAAAAAATTTTTATTATAAATATATCCTGAAATCAATTGTATAAAACAAAATGAATAATTTTCAACGCAATAATGATTATTTAATTACAATACATACAAATAATAATTTAATAGTTTAACTTTATATAGCGCAATTATCATAGATCTGTTCTTTTCTGAAATCTTTTCCTTAAAAAAAAAAAGAAAAAAGAAAAAACTCTGCAAGATAAGAAAAAAAGAAGCTGAAAAGAACAAGCCTCAGTTTTAGACAAATAACTTTGAAATGAGTAAGTAAATCCATACAAATGAACAAGAATATTTATGTGAGTTTTATTAGCATATATGAAAAATATAATTTAATTCCTAATGCTACGATCTTATCAAATTTGCAAATAAGTATGTAATACGAAATGCAATTTTACATAAGAACACCAAGACAAATAAAAAAATTAAATAACTTACATCAATGAAAGAATTGACTCAAATTTTACATAGATATTCATACATAGTAATAGAACATTTTATCAAATTTTTATATTTTTGGTAATGCTTTGAGATATGATATCTTAAATTTAAATGCAAACACATAAATTATTGCAATATCTGCTGCCAATCTGTTGACATATCGCAGACAGTTTACTTATTGAGACAAATTAAAAATTAAGTTAAATAGAAATCGGAATAAAAGATCACAGAAACATTTTGATACTTACATGATAAGACATAGAAAGAAATAACCTACGAGTTCCATTATTGTGCGCGTAATTCAAGTGTTTGACATTGTAAATAAGTTTTTCGTTGGGAAAATAAATTCTTTTGGATGGGAAATTAAATATTCGACTTGGCGCCATATAATATCGCTTCGAATACTTAGTTAAATTCTGCATAATTCGAACTTGAAAGCACTTCAGGCGTAAGGACCGACAAGGATTGCATTCCGTTCATGGTTCATGGTGGAAAAATAGTCCATGGCACATACAAAAATGTAAAAGTGCCATTACATAGGAGCGTCAAGCGACAAGCGTCGAGTATTGTGACCTTACTATTCGCTAAAAACAGATCACGTGATCCAAATTGACGAATAGAAATCTCACAATGCTCGACGCTCGACGCTGTCATGTAAAGATACATTCACATGCAAGCGTCAAGCGTCAAGCAGGCAGCGGAAGCAGCAATCAATCAATGAGGTGATTTTTACAGTGGTGTAAAAAATAATTTTTACACCACTGCCCGTATTGCCCAGGCTGATTGGTCACCATTTGGTGCATTCAGTACTACCGCTCAGTGAGCGCTCAGTAAGCGGTTGTAGTACTGAATGCAACCATTGGTCACCATTTTTAGGCTGTGGTCAAAGTCTCGCTACAAATGCTTCGAAGCGTTTGATGGACCAATTAGAAGAAAGAATTTTATAACCTAGCCAACTAAAAAAAATGCTTTAAAGCGTTTGCAACATCGCGTTGATCATATCCTTAAAATTTTAATTGTATCCACGATGCTGAAAATCGATTCGAGATCTTGGAGAGAGAAGTGACCAATTGCATTTGAACAATAATAATTCAATCTGTTCAATGTGATTGATCATTTCTTTCTTTCTATTAATAAAAAAATAACTCATCAAATTGACGTCAAATCGACGATGTCGAATTGAGAAGTTTTTTCAATGAAGCAAAAATATTATATATCTCGTATCGAGGTTTTACGTATAAAAGAATATGCAATAATTATAATATTACAATTGCACAAGACAGTAATAACAGGAGCTATTTATTATTTTATTTAAGGCAACTCAGAAATAAATCGAAATTCAAACACATCGAGTTTTTTATCCTTATTAGAACTATCGAGCTAATTTTGACGTCGTATCGATATTAACTTTCTCATTGATACAACTCAAAGTGCTAAAAAACGAAAGCTAATTGTCGCCTCACACAAAGTTTTGCATTAATTATACAAATTCACTGCTTTAAAAACACGAATTCACTGCTTTAAAAACATAAATTCATTGCTTCAAAAACATAAATTCTCTGCTTTAAAACACAAATTCACTGCTTTACAAACAAAAATTCATCGCTTTAAGCACACAAATTCTTTGCATTAGCAGTGAATTTGTGTAATTAATGCAGAACTTATACATAGAGCTATGTTGCTGTAGATCAAACCGAAATGACATCTTAATCTCTAAAGTCTCCAACTTTAACGCTTAATAACTCAAAATCGACCGCCGCGTTTTTTTGTCAGATTCTTTCGTTTTGAGTGAAAACGAAAGAATAAGTATATTTTTATTAAGATTTAAGGTGGGTGAATGGGCGAGAGGGGGGGAGTTATTCTAAATAATTACCAAAAAAAATTTATGATTACAATTATCACGTACCTACATTATATCATCGACAATTAAACGTAGAATGTAGCGTTAGCTCTATTTTTAGGTTATATGCGGTTTTGACATGTGAGAGGCTAAAGCTAAACGTGCATTGTCAAATATTGTGACATAATTGAATATTTTGTACTCGACATGCATAGGTAATGTATTTTATGTAATTTTAATTATACAGTTTAGCACCCCGCAATTCAAAAATTAATAAAATTAGGCTTATTCGACATTAGGTGTTTGTGCATGAAACGAAAGAATCTAGCAGAAATAAGCGTCGCTGTGCTTCGAGATTGCTCAAGATTTCCGAAAATAAAGATGTTACTCATTAAAGTTGATGACTATTTAGATTAAGAAATCTGTTACATCGATGACATAGAGGGACACGAGATATGTAAGTGAGGCTAGAATAAATATTTTTTGCTTTAATTGCATAAGTAAATTCCTCTGCTTTAAAAGCACAAATTATTTTTTTATATAATTTTTATTTTTAAAGTAGAAAAGTATCTGAAACTGCGAGAAATACCTAAAACGTATATGGCTATAAAGTCATAATGAAAATGTGATAGCAGCACATGCTCATATATTTCCTAAATCGAATAATCATCAACTTTATCAATTAACATTTTGATTCGTAGGATAGAACAACACTTATTTTTGCTAGATTCTTTCACATCATGCAAAAATGCATCAAGTAAGTCCAATTTTAATTTTAATTTTTGAACTACAAGATGCAAAACTAAAAACATTTTATCAATTTGTAAAAACATTTTAGGCACGCATTGATCCTGACACAATTAATATTACCTTGGAAATATGATTCTTCTAAATGGAATTTGTGGCGAATGTACAGAACACGAGCAAATCATAAAATCAAAGAATACGAAGGTCGCAAATTAGTGGGGTAATAAGAACAGATAGGAAAAGATTTTTTTAATAATCCTTTTATTTTAATTTATTATTTTATTTTATAATGTATTAAATATTTTATTAATATTTAAAATGATATTTATATTTATTGCAAACTTTTACTTATATTTTGATACATTAGACCTATTTATTTTAATTGATCTTGTTGCACAATTAATCTTTTCTTTCTTTTTTTTTCTCATAATAAGGCAAAAGGGAAAGATGAGTATTGTGCAATAAGTTTAGTTAAAAGAAACAGATCTATTTAAGTAATTCATATGTATATTATAAATTGTGTATATTTTCGTTATAGAATATATCCAAGTTTTTTTGTTCTTTAGCTTTTCAATGGAGAAAATGTACTACGTAGTTGCCGATGTGGGAAATTATAGAAATTTCTTACCCTTTTGCAAAAAATCTGAAATTACTTTGAAAACCAAAGACTTCTTGAAGGCCAATTTAGTAATTGGGTTTCCACCTATAAATGAAAATTATACTTCAACAGTGACTATAGTACATCCAAGGCTAGTTAAAGCCGAATGTAAGGATGGCAGATTGTTTCATCATTTAGATACCCTGTGGTTGTTTAGTCCTGGACTGAAAAATAATTTAGAAACTTGTGTGATTGACTTCTCCTTGTCTTTCGAGTTTAAGTCTACCATTTATTCTCATTTGTCAAATTTATTTTTTAATGAAATTGTAAGACAAATGGAGAATGCTTTCCTTGAAGAGGCTGTAAAAAGATATGGACAGCCATGTTTAAAAACAATACGATTACAAAGATGACACAAGATATCTATAGAAATCATGGAATATATAAATAATATTTATGTTTTGGCTTAATGAATTTACCTATTGTTATTTAATTCTTTTTAGAATAAATATATATAACTTTAACAAGATTGTATAACAATAAGACAATAAAGTTATAGGTTCTCTGACTAAATCTAAAAAGAACAATTTAAAAAGGAACGAAAGCCAATAAGAGCCAACACAGAGCAGTAACGTGTAAATTATTTATTAACAAAATTAAAGTTAATGATATATGTGAATTAATGCATCAGACGCATTAAAAAATGTATCAACTATTATCAACTGCCTTGAGTCAAAATAGAAACAGTGCACTGGAAAGAATGCTAAAAATTCAGTTAATCTAGAAAATTCTCAGCTAAAGTCACTTTATTGAGTATTGCAAACACCTTCGTTTTGAAATGCCATTTCAAATTTATACATTTGTATATACATACTTTATTTAAGAAAAATGAAGCTATCAAATATGTAAATAAATGTTTTTTAATTGTAATTAGTAATAATTTATTTGTGATTAAAAAAACATGTATGAATGCTTAATTTATTATTTAGGCTGTGTTTCAAAATTTACCGAAAATCTATAGTGCACGTGTAACGTAAACTGTAGTAATTTCAGTGATAATAATAAATTTGGAACATAGCCTTCATAGAAATACTAGGATATTATAATATCTAATTATTTCCAGTATTGCTATCGTCATTATTGTTATCGTCGCGCAATGTTTCACCCTTATATTCTTTCCATCATGCCATCAATCATGTTTGAAACTTCCGCCATATCGACGTAACATTTCAGAAATCAATTGCGATACTTTAGTGACTTTACGCTACGAATGCTTCAAAGCATTTTTTGATTGGTGAATTAATAAAATTAATAAAAAAAAAATGTTGCTATCTTTCTGCCTCTGATTGTAGATCTGTTTTTTATTGCTGCACTCTCTGAAGACACACAAGGTGCACACGGTGCAATAAATTGAAGTGAAACAAATACACATTTGTGTGCACATTCAGAAAATGCAGCAATAAAAAACAGACCTTAAGGACCAGTTTCACCAACGCTGATCAAGCTTGATCGTGATTAAGGGGCTCCGCACAATAAAAGGAACAGATAACAGAGAATAAGAATTTCAACCTATCAGAAATTGTGTATTCCACAATATATGATTTCTGACAGGTTAAAATTCTTATTCTCTGTTCTCTGTTCCGTTTATTGTGCGGAGTCCCTAACTGTCAATCGCAATTGGTCGATTTCTATAGTCAGTTAATATTCATAGCTGCTCATAGCAGTGTGCTTCAAAGAATTAATCCTGTCACTTGGTTATCATTTACGAATTCGTGTACGTTCCTTGGAAAGAATGACAGTGGTAAGTTCGGACATTCGATGTAAAAAAGCTTTATACATTAAGTTTAAGGTTATACACTTTGTTTTGATGATTCCAAAATGAGTTTATAATCGGTAGTCGTAAATCTTATCGATGAATCGATCAAGTTAGCCAATTTTTTTAAGATTGGTCAAATTCGAGTTTGAGTTTATTCCTTCCTATTAGTCGAGGTAAATGACTCGTTGTACATTTAACTTATAAATGCGAAAAGTCATAGTCACCTATTTAGATTAAGATTATTTATTTAATATTTTCGATTACCGACCCATTGTAGAATCAGCTTTATATATAAAATATAGATCTTTTTTTTATCATGCTGTTGTAAAAGTTTTAAAAATTGTAACAAAAAGAATAGATCATATATTGCATATAGATATAAATAGTAGACGTATTGATAAAAGTTTGTTTAGCTCATCTCCAAGAAAGCAAACTACAGTAGATAACAGAAGATAGATTTCCTCATTGTCAGATATGTATTGTAACAGATTGTCTGTGTCTGTACTTGTATTTTGTTTTAGCAGAGCTTGTCGATATTATCTATCAACAGATTATTAATAAAAACCGCATACAATCTGTCAGATTGTAAACATCCATAAATGGAATAAATAATTTAGATGAAGATGAATCTTTATTACCCTCAATACTACAAGAGGATACATCATTTAAATGATTACGAATTGGCAACTTTTGTTCAGTTTCTGCAATCATTATATTATCTTCTATTATTATCTATCTAAAATTTTCGACTATCTACTCATTGTAGAATCAGCTTTAAATTTGTTCGTGTTGCATGTTCCATCAAGCATGGAGTAAGAGTTATGGTAGAATCATGTCGAAACATATAACATGATCAAATCTTGATATTCTCAACAAAATCATAGCATACTTTCAAAATCTGTTTAACAGATTTGTTTGGTCAGATCATTAAAATGATTTATAAAGGATACTCTTAAAAAATTTCATATTCTGACGTTAATAAATCTTTTTTGAAATTTGTAAAAAATTTTTCAAGCTTGCTATTTTACTAGTAATCAGAAAAATTTTTAGCGATATTTTATTTGAATTACTTAATGTTATAAATTGCAAAATGACAAATACTATGATTTTACAAAGTATACATACAGTATTTCCTTTGAAATAAATCTAATAAATAATATTCTAATCTAACATTTTGTACAAGCATTTTTGGAGCATTTGTGGCAGTGTGTTAAAACAAGATTTGTAAAACGAATTATGCTTACAAGAAATTTTATTCTGACAAATATTTCTAAAACTTTTCTTATCTCTATACTTTTTTTATTGAAATCAATCATCTTTTTGCATTTATATCTACATACAATATAATATTATTTATTTACAATTGATACAATAATTAAAGCAATAATTTAAACATATTGATAATTATCAAATTCTCTTTGAAATATCATTTATTTGAATTATGATTTTGTTATTTTAGGAATTGAAGAAATTTCTCTACGGACTGTTAACTGATGTGGAAGGTTTGCATAGCATATTAATTACTGACAGAGATGGAGTACCCGTTATATCTGTAGCTAATGAAAAGGCGCCAGAGTTAGCTACAAGAGCCAGTTTTTTATCTACTTTTGGAATGGCTACGGATCAAGGAAGTAAATTGGGACTTGGCAAAAATAAAACCATTATATGCATGTATAGTAATTATCAGGTAAAATATATAATAAACTCAAATATACATTTATATTAAAATTTGTGCATAAATTTTATATTATTTTATGTAATTTGTTATGTAATTTCAAAACAAGATTATAATTGAGATCTTGAATATTATATGAACACATTGAGATAATAAGTAATAAAAAAGATAAAAGAACAATTATTTAAATATTACTAAAAATAATTTATTTAATAAAAACGTTTTAATATTGGTTATTTTATTAAATATTATAAACTTTTATTGTTACTAAATAATTTATACTTTTATAAATATCAAATAATTTTTTTAAAGTCATTTCTATATATATATATAATTTTAATTTTTAAATTTAAATTAAATTATTTAAACTATATTAAAGATATTACAAAATAAATTCTAAAATTATTAATGTATTATGTATAAATATAATTTGATGCTGATTGATTTTAGAAGTTGTTTTCATAATTACCTAATAATATATATTTAAAATTAATAATAATTTAATGTTTAACATTATTATATTCTTTATGTTTTTTTTTTTAGGTAATTCAGATAAATAAGTTGCCATTGGTCATTAGTTTTATTGCTAGTCACAGTTGCAACACCGGTCATGTATTATCGTTGGAAAATAAGATTGATCCTATCTTAAGTAGTTTAAAAAATGCAGTGGTGGAAGCCTGATGGTTACCTGTTGTTCATTATGGGTGATAATTGCTGAACACTGTTCAGATATGAATTTATAAGTTATTGCAATTATTATATAAACAATAATCTTTTTTCAAGAATATCAAATATGTTTTTACGTTTTTACTTGCTTATGTTCATTCATATTGTTGCAAATGTGTTTTGAAAAAGTGAAAGATCTCTTAAAATAATTATTACATAATACTTTAATGCAGAAATCGGTAAATATGCCGATCAGGGAAGACCGCTCTGATGACCTTGACATAGACAGAAGAAAGATGAGGTGATCCTCACTTTGCGTGGAAATCGTGCTCCCTTAAGCAGAAGAGGTATGCAGAATGGAATTCGCTTCACGTAGAAAATCCAATGTCTCTTAGTAGAGGAAATATGTAGTTCTTATATATATTGTATAGCAGAAATGAGACGTTATTCCTTAAATTTTTTGATTAATAACTTTTTAACGAATAACGAACGATGGCTAAAATCTCTTAGAGGTAATCATTGAGTCAAAGTCATTGAAGCGATCTTCTCCGATCGGCAGATATTAACCCAGAAATCTATTAGAGAGAGGTTCTTTTTGAGAAATGTAGAGATATAATCAAAGTTATAATATTATTTATTTATTAAGAAAATACTTGATATTTTTTATGAAAATTATCATGTGTAGTAACGTTCCAATTTATTACATTAAGTAATTTAGTAAGTAATAAATTGTTAAAAACTTTTTGAAATTTGATAGATTTTAGATAAAGAGAGAAGAGAATAACAAATTTTAAAATCATGAGACTTCAAACCATCTAAATATATTAATGTGTTTGTAAAATGTTTGAAATATCCTACGAAATACCTTTTATAAGATCATTTATTTCAATGGCAATTAATTAAATAATTGGATTTGATAAGTAAGATTTTTAGAAATATTTCTAGAGATGTACTCACTTAATATAAATGTAATATTTATTTTATTGCTTAACTCTTAAGTAGGCACAGAAAATCGCTCTCTGATTGTTACGAAACAATAGTTTTGGAGTTTCCCCTCCCCTCTTCCGAGGAAGTTAAATATTAGATCATTTTATTCATTTTTTATTCATGATACTGTGACTCCTTTTAAAACTGGAATCCATCCAGGAGAAGAAAAGAAGCAGTGGCTGTAACCCCCACCCTGCACTTACTTAAGGATCGAAGCTTCTGACTAGCTACAATCCATTTTTAAAAAAAACAGTCTCATAATTTTGTTTTATCCAAATTCTCTATTTATAAAAAAAAGGTAAGAAATTTCAACGTATCATTTCTCACTTGACATCACGATCCAATATGACCGCGGCGACTAGTCAGGAGCTTTAATCAGTACAGTTTAATGAATAATAAAATTTAATGAATAAATTAATTTTGATTGTATAAAAATAATTAAATTGAGATTAGGATTTGCCGAGTGATTATATTTGTGTAATTTGAAGAATCAAAGAGGATCTTGTTACATCATGAATGATCATACATTTTTAGTAATATTTTTTAATTAATTAATTAATTAATGTAAGAAATGCACAACACAAGAAAAATGAGCTGCTATAAAGAATAAACCAAAGGCTTATTCTCAAGGCCATTAAGAATGTTTTGCGCAGCGATTATCGACATATCGTTACGGGTCTTGATTGTCGCGCTACCTATATGTGGCGTAATTGCTGTAATTACCAAAATAAAAAATTAATGATATGTACTATACATATATGTAAATTATAATACATCGTAATAGTATTACATTCCTTGAATATTTTAAAATTATAGAATTTCTAGAGCATAAGCGATTTATTGAATACTTAAGTGTGTGATATGTCATATCGTATGTTACAAGAAAATAACAAGAAAATAAAAATGATTACCAACCGACATTAGGTAGTTTTAAAAGTTCATGTTCCGGTGGTACTGGTTCTGGTTCGGTAACGTCTAATCCGGCAGCGAATATCTTCTTATTACGAAGAGCTTTCACAAGTGAATTGGTATTGACAATTTGACCACGAGACACATTTACGAAGATGGCTGTTTTCTTCATCTTATCAAAAGTTTTGTCATCAAAAAGTCCTCGAGTTTCGTTATTTAGAGTTGCTGAGATTACGATAAAATCACTCTGTTTTAGAAGCTCATCCAGAGATACAAACGTTGCCCCAAGTTCATCACCTGAATCATGTTAGTTAATTTAAAAGACTTATGTATGCAACAATTTTTTAACAATCCTATAATATAAATTCATTATTTTAATATAAATGCAGCATAATTTTTTACGAAGCTATAAATTCTACTGGAGATTTTTACATAATTATTCAAATTCATTTAGTATTTATTTAATTAACGAATATTGCTTTTTGAAAAAAATCTCTAAATAATATAATAAATAAATTTTTTTAATATACAGAGCGTCTCATTTTAATTGCCCACTACAAATGTCTTCTAAATCCAAGGTTCACTTCACCTCCTTTTTTATTCAGAGGTTCGACTCATCCCATATTTTTTTTAATGTGCCTCTCCCCCCTCTCCTCCTTAGATAATTAGAGAGATCGTTTCGCGTGGAAAGCTATTACGTATGTAAGCAGAAAGGGAGGCGTGGAGTAATGTTGTGGAGTATTATAGTGTATAGCAGAAAAATGAGATGTTATTTTTTATAAACTTTTTTGTTAATAACTTTTAAACGAACGTTTACTGAAACCTGTTGGAGATCTTAAAGTCGTAACCTTGACGAGATATGTCTTGACAATGTATGTCAAAATATGAAAAAAATGTAAAAAAAAAACAGTTTTTTATATTTGACCTTGAAAATGACCTTAACAGTAATTTTCATGATCATATTTGTAATCAGCACACCAAAATAATAGTATACCAATCGACAACAAAATCGGAAGTTTCATCTTTTCGAAAGTGTGTCCTTAATATCCTTATAATTTTTGCCTTTTACATTTTCTACGATGGCTGTATCCAAGAAACATACTATTGCATTAATTCGTTATCATTTATTAGATATAAAATAAGGATAGAATGTTACTAGCGCTGATAGCACACTTATCGGGCGCAATCAGTACAATATTCATTTACAAGCATTTACAAGAGTCCATTTATTCGAGATAGGCGATTAAAATAGGACATTCGGTGTATATATATATATAATAAATTCAGGTTTTGTAACTGACTTGTTTTTATAGGTATTATAATAGAAAAATTTAGGATGTAGAATATAAATATATATATGTATGACACATTACAATTAGAAAAAAAATTACTTTTCTAATAAGTTACTAGCTTACCTGCTTTCTTGCGCGAATGTCCGGTATAAATGAAACGCCCTACTTCGAACCCCATTAATCGTTTAACTATTGCTTGGCCAATATTTCCCAGGCCGAAGATGCCAACTGTAGAACCTCGTAAATCTTGTCCCAGCATCCATTGTGGTCCCAATCTTGGCTCACCTCTTAATTACATTATCATGTATGACATCTATCACTATTTAGTTTTCAGTTAAGCAACTACTTAAATGAAGACTGATAAAAATAGATTAAATAATAATTTTATTGCTTTTAGCTAGAATTTATATGTATAGATAATACGATAACATCATCTTTTATATAAATATATGTGTATTAATTCAATATAAATAAAATAAAATAAAATGGAAAAATATTTATCAAACGTGTCAAAAAGGGATCTGATATTCATTTAATAAAAACATGCTTTGATTATATTGATTACATGGATTTCTATCTAATCTTATTGGCTTTTCAAGCATAGATTTTATTTGAAAAGCCAATAAGATTAGATAGCCATTAATTTCTGTCCACTTCTTTCTACTATCTTATTTATAGGCTAACTTTTTAATTTTTTTCTCTCCGCGCGCGCGCGCGCGCGTGTGTGTGTGTGTGTGTGTGTGTGTGTACATAATCCACATGTATAAAAAAAAATTGAAAAGCTGTTCCATATAAAGTATTCATATGGAGAAAAGAAGTACTGTTTTATAAATATAAATAGGAGAATGAGGAGAAAGTTAAATTATGTAATTTAAAATAAGATAAAATAATTACTCTTCCAGTTTCATGCGACCCTCATGGGCGCGTCTTGCCGCGGATAATATTAAGAGCACCGCAATTTCTGCCACTGCAGCGGATAGTACCATCGGTGTGTGCCCGACTTTGATTCCTCTCCTTTTAATTTCTGGAACATCTAAATGATCGTATCCGGCCGACATTGTCGACACGACTTTTAAATTTGGTCCTGAAAAAAAAAACGAAAATCGAATTCGTCATGATAAAATTTTGTAATCGCTTTTTTAGAAAAATATAATACCCAGCCTGTAAAAATAGGCAAATTTCAAGATGGAATAACTTTGTGAAAAATCATGGTATTGAGGTGTTTGAGAAAAGCATTTTACAGCTTGAAATCTATATTTTTCAGATCGGTACTTTAGAAAACGGTCTTACTGATATTTTATAGAATTATGCAAACATAAATAAAAATGCAATCGAATCTCAAAATTTTTTATGAAATTTGACAAGTTCCATGGCGCGGATTAAAAATTGCACGTTAATAAATACGAAAAATACGATTTGCAGCATTCGAAAGAGTGAATTATCTTTATCTTTCATTTGTTTTTTTATCAAGCTCTCAGTATGATTATTTTTCATTTCGAGTTATTCAATATTGAAGCAAGAAAGAGCTACCGCTCGACGATATTTTGTTCTTTCAACTTAAAAGGTATTAAAATTATAAAAACTATTTAGCGCGTTTCAAGTAGTCGCAACTGTGCTGTCAGTTTTCATTCTTAAATTAATCGGTTTTATTTAATTGTTTAAATAATTTTAAATCTTATTCTTCTCTTATACTTTTTAGTATTTTATCCAAGCATTTATTGAAACGATCAAGTTTCAAGAGTATATTTTTTTAAATAAAAATGTTGAATAATTAATTTCGTTTGAGAATATTTGATTCATATAATTATGAAATTGAAGAGCAAAAAGGAAGTTATGGAAAAAATTAATAAAATAGATTTTTACCGGCAACATCGAGGAACTCGTTGTTGACAATATGATGACTAGCGAGAAATACAGCATCATGTCCAGGAAGAGCTTGCAACACTTGTTCTCGAGTGCTTATGCCTGCTGGTATAATAGTGACGTTACATCTATATAAACAATTTAACAGTACAAAATAAATGATTTATATAATCTTTCGAGTATTCCGGATTTATTCAGACTTACTTTGTGTGAAGCAAATCGATACCGGGAGCAGGAACATCATTGCTCGTCACCAAAACACGTGGTAGAGCCGGTAAACTCATCACACTGTTTAAGAAAATTGAAATAAAAATAATATAAAATTCGTATCAAAATACGAACTCGTTGAAATCACTTGTGGATACTGTGGACATATTATACTCACGTAATTTCTAAATATTTTTCTTACAATGAAACAGAAATTAGTGCGAAAAGTCCTGTAATTTTAGTTTGAAGGATCATTCATTGACACATCACGCCGCAATTTTCCAATCGTTGGATGAGATTTGACAAACAGTAAACGCAACGAGATGTAGACTTCCACTGTTTATTTTCATGTATAACTGTACTTGTACTGATAACAGTGATACCCAGTGACACCTATATCGGTGTCGACAGAATGCCTTGCTCTCGAGACATTACATGCACCCATATATATATGTATAACTAACGCAAACCGGTTTGCCTACAAAACAAAGATAACACGATATCCATGATGAAACTCAAGCAGGAATTCTCGTCCAAGTAAAAAATAAATCGTCAGTCTCTATATTCTGTAACTCGTACTATGTGTTCATATTATATATATAAAACGACAGTTGCGCAGCTTAATTTTTTATTAGGTGTTGGAATTAATTCGTAGCGTTTTACAAGAGATGGGAAGTGATGGGAAGTACTTTCATTAATGTATTTTTTAATGCTCATGTGAAATAAATAACATTCTTTCATTAATAAAACGCTACGAATTAATTCCAACACCTAATACTATACATATAAAATAATTGCACAACTGTCATTAGGAGCACACAACAATTGCATAACAATTTACAGAATTCCATTTCTGCTGCCAGGGTCGAATGAGGCAGTGTTTGAAGCTTAATCCGTAATCCGTATGCCGTACGATATTGCAATATATAGACGCTCCATTGCCAAACACTGCCTCAATTCGTTTTGGGGAAAATTTCATTCATCAGCGGACAAAACCTCGTTATCTCGCGAATATTGAAATAGTGAAACAGTAGATGAAGAATCTCTCAGTGTTTCGCATAGTTGATATTAGGGAGTTTTTGCAATAACATGAATTCTGCAAATACGCGATGAACGGTAAAGTCATGTTATCCTTTTCTTAATTAATCGTTAAGAAAAAGATAACCCGATCTTAGCGTTCACCGTGTGTTTTAATTGTACTGCAACATCGATTCTTGCATATATATATATAGTGGCATATACCGATTGAGCAGATCCCAATAATGAATATGAATACCGGCGCATACAGGTAATATTTTGGGATGGACACGATGGACGAGACGCGGCTTACGGACTTAATTTATCGAGGCGTTCGTATTTATTGTACTCAATTTCTATAATAAGTGCATATAAAGTAACTTAAAAAGTAACTTCTAAGTAAATTTTCTCAATCCTGTATTCAACCCTGCAGCTGTGCAATTCAAATCTTGGAAGGAAAGCATGCTTGAAATAACACGTTCAAATTTACCGCGTAACGTTTACCGCGTATTCTTCCTTTGTTAACCATTCTGAGCTGAGTTCCATTTAACGCTCAAGTTTATTCTACAATGTGCTCTTTGTTTTTGTTTTTTATTTTTTACCTTTTATTTTTTTCTCCTTTGTTATCATTTTAGCGATAATTGTATTTCTTGCTACATATTTCTTGTTTCTTTCCAAGTTTGTTAACTTTTTTATCTCAGGCGATATAAAACAAAAAACCGGATAAAAAGTAAAAAAACAAGATGTAAATAATAGTAAAAAGCAAGAAACAGGGATCAAAAAGCATATTGTAGAACAGATTTCACACGCTCGTGGAATCATTTTATCCTTGTCTTTTATCAAATGTTAAACAAGGACAAACGATGCTCGCGAGTGTTGCGAGCGTTAAGTGATTGGCCAGGGACGTGAACACTATGAACATTTCACGCACGGCATGATCATGATATGCATAATGTTTCGTTTATCCTTCATTATTATCTTTCAGTGAACAACAATCTCATATAGTCACGTGATAGGTGACATTATTTACGCATGCGTATTGCGTACAGAGGAGCCCTCTGCCCTGCCGCCTGTTTGATGCCTTCATTTGGCAGTTTGGCATCGCTGCACTATACTTAGCACACTACTGTACGAGTGTAACATAGTGCAACATAGTGCACATCAGTGACATTAGTGACGTCAGTGATATCAGTGAGTTTAGGTTATGTTTCATCGCGTCGCTATTCGGATTCGTGATCGGTGCCACTGCCATGTATGTACGTACGTATGTACATACATGCGTATGTACGTCAATGTAAATTAGTAAATTAGGAAATTACTTCCTCTGATGTTAAGGTGGAACCTGGTGGAACCAACGAGATCTCGTATCGTTCAAAGTATCAGCCGACTAGGAACGTATCTATCGAAAAGTACGAGGTGACACGTCGAGAAGTACTGTACCTGTACGGCATTTTTTCATTTTGTCATTGGATTAGCAATCTATCATTATTACACTGGACCGCATGTAAAATGACATTATTTGCTTATCTCTTTGTCTTACCACTCGACTTTTCACGCATAAAATTCATAAAATCACGCAAGTTCCTATGGAATGATCAGCGCTTTTTCCCCGTTTTAAAAATCAAATTAGTCACATCCAAGTTCCATCTCTCCTGTAAAAAGTCGAGTGAATTTTTCTCATTTTATTTAAAAAAAAATTCAGATTATACCTTTATTAATACTGTGGAAAGCAAATTTGCATTTAATTATATTTTAAAATAATATGTGCGAATAATATGTTGCATAATCACTCCTACTCTTGTTTCAATCGGCAGTTCTTAATTAATTCTTAATTAATGTTGAACTTACCTTTCTCGTGGAAAATCTCTGATGAGGAAGTAATCTCAATCTCTATCGTATTTTTAAATTTGTTGAAGTTTGCTAAAATTTAATTATTATAAAATTACTGAAAAATAAGTCTGTCACATATCTTTTTTTCTCCTGAAGTTTAATTTGTCAGAAATAATACAATAAAATAAGAAATTTATGGTATGAAGTAAACATAAATGATGCACGTAGAAAATAATGAAAAATATATTTTGTTTACTGGGAGATTACAATTAAGATTTTTATATATCTTACTATGTTTTATTATGTTATTTTTAACTGCAATTTTTGGAGTAATATTTTCTGCTGATGAGCTTAAATAAAAAGAATCTTAATTGCAATACTGAGAATTGAAAGAATATATAAGATAAAACTGTTAATCATTGCTCTACAAAATACATATTAAAGTTAATGTATGTAATATTAAGATGATATTTAAATTATATTTAATGTCACTTTAATGGTCAATTGATATTTCATAATTATAGACAAAGTAGAAGTGGTTGGATTCTAATGTCAATTATTAGAGATGCAAGATGGAGCAGCTAGAAGTAACAGGGATTATACTAAGATTGTGCCTATTCAACATTCTAATGATAAACTGGAACAGCGCAACTGCAATAGCTCATAAGGATCAATCTCAAAGTCTGATTAACCTAGGTGGTCAAGGCTTATATAATGCCAGAGATGATGTAGTAATACTCAATGCCACAAATTTCAAAACAAGTGTTTACGAGAGCACCAGGAGCTGGCTTGTTGAGTTTTATAACAGTTGGTGCGGCTTTTGTTACAGATTTGCACCAACATGGAAGGCTTTGGCAAGTGATGTTCTACGTAAGTTCTCAAATAATCTCGCGAGCAAATAGTTATAGGAAAGACGCTACTAGACATAAACTATTTGTGTCAAATCTAGTTATCTGAGTAATCTTTTCGAAAAATTAATTTTTTTGTCGGAATAAAAAAGAGGAAAACGATGTTCACGAAATCGTTTATTTTTTATTCATTTACATATACTACATAATAATTAAATAAATAAAAATAATGTTTTAGCTTGGAATGACATTGTCGTCGTTTCGGCTATAGATTGTGCCGATGATGACAACAATCCGATCTGTCGTGAGTACGAGATCATGCACTATCCAATGTTAAAATATTTCTCTATAAACACACACTCGCCGACCTTGGGTATAGTGATAGAAAAGGGGGACAGCGTTGATTCAGTGAGAAGTAATTTAATTAACAGGCTCGAAACAGAACAACAGGAAGGACGAGGATCTACGTGGCCTAACATTGCACCATATAGGTATGTCATAAATTTTCCACAGCTAATTCCTGGGTTATGTACCTTCTTGTTATAACTAAACAAAAAATTCATTTTTGTTCTTCGTATGTATAATCCATTATTTTTTATAATTATGTAATTCATAATTTAAAGGCAGACCGTAAGATATATAAAGTATATTTATAATTATTTCGTTAGAAATAATATGTTTTTTATTAAACATATTATTAAACATATTGTAATAATTTAATGTTTGTGAATAAGATGAAAAGATAATTTTTTTCTTTCGTGATTGTGAATAAGTCAAGAAAATAAATGTTTCCAAAAAAATTTTTTCTTTAATTCTCTTAAATTAGTTATTTTCTTATAACTAGTAAAAAAGTTATTAGAGATCTTTTCATGCTTTTTTGTAAGTTTTGTTATAATTTTCCTAAAACTCTATTTGCATGATTTGCGACTTTTAAATTTGTACATATTATCAAAAAGTATAAAAGAATTGTTTTAGCACTTTAGATTCAAGCTTGACTGCTTAATCTTTATTTCTTATCCGTTTTGCGCGATTTAATATGATACTTAATAATATAATAATATAACGAAAATATATTATACATATATATGCAGGGTGCATCACCAAAACCCGGACAAATTCAATTTAAATTTTTCGTTATGGCTTCCGCCAGAGGTTGTTGTTGACGTCCGAGCAGTGTTGTTAGATGGACCACTAGTAAATAGGAGATCATTAATCGTAAAATTTTTTCAAAAATGTGGAAAATTTTAATATTTTACATATTTTACATATGCATATAATACATATAAATATATTATATATATTTATATGTATGTATACGTATGTAAAATATGTAAAATATATAAAAATTTTCAACTACATTGGATGCGCATGCGTCTGAAATCCGGCCCGTCGAACAACACTGGGACCGTCCGAGAAAGCCTAATGCTTCTAATAAACAGTCATATTCTCAAAATGGCCGCGATGTTGAAACCAAGTACGGAATATAATCGAAGAGCCGCGATCATCGAAGGCCTTCGCGCTGGGCACTCAGCAACGGAAATAATTCGGTTCTTTGGATATCCGAGATCAACTGTTTATGACGTTGTGGCAAAATATACGGCTTTAGAACGGTCCAACGAAGGTTCCGCTACGCCAGCAAGAAAGAGTCACTCGAAAAACCGCACCGCGAGGACCCCCGCAATCATTGAAAAGGCTCAAGCGCTGATTTCGGATAACCCAGGACAATCGTTGCGAAAATTAGCATCGATTGTTGGTGTAAGCGAGGCAACAATACGTCGAATTGCCGAGGAGGACCTTCGATACAAATCGTACACATTAAAGATACGACAACTGCTCTCTGAGGCTGCCAGGACAAGCCGAGTTGCTCGTTGCAATCTGTTATTGTGTTCTTTGAAAAACGAAGCGTCGGGACGAATCAGGTTCTTTTCTAACGAAAAAATTTTTACTGTTGATGCCAAAATCAACCGAAGGAATGACCGAAGCCTCGCCTACAATCCCGACGATGTCCTTGTTGCCAGAACGAAATGTCCGATCAATGTTCACGTGCTAGGTGTTGTGTCCAGTGAAGGTGATGTCATGCCACCACATTTCTTTAAAGAAGGGGAAACTGTCACAAAAGAACTGTATTTGTGCATTCTGATGGATATAGTGAAGCCGTGGATGGAAACTGTGGCGTCCGGAAGACCAGATATTTTTCAGCGGGGCGATGCACCGGTTCATACGAGTCATTTGATTCAAAATTGGCTCTCAGACAATGTCGATATGTTTTGGTCCAAGGAATTCTGGCCTCCCAACAGCCCAGATTTAAATCCCTTGGACTACTACGTATGGAGTGTAATTGAAAGGATCACAAACAAGTCTCGGCATCCCAACGTAATATCATTAAGGACCGTTATTCAGGTAGCATTCTTCGACATGGACAGCGCTACATTACAGCGTGCATGCGAACGCTTCAGACCGAGAATAGAGGCCGTCATTCAAGCTAATGGGGAATATATCGATTAATTGTGCTCTACAGGGATCTCCCAAGTGCCATGTAAAAGGATTTTTTGTAATATTTAATTTTTCATTTACGAACATTTTGTTTAAAGAAATTGTTCGATTTGTCCGGATTTTGGTGACGCACTCTCTCTCTCTCTCTCTCTGTGTGTGTGTGTGTGCGTGTGTGTGCGTGCGTGCGTGCGCGCGCGCGCGCGTGTGTGTGTGTGTGTGTAAAATATAATAATAAATAAAATATATTATTAATAAATGTTTTAAATAAAAAAAATTCTAGTAGAAAAATTATCAACTATTTTGATAATAAGGATTAAATTTTATATTTTTTTATAAACTTGTATTTAAATGTTATTGTTATTAATGTTTTTATAAACTTGTATTTAAATGTGTTATTTGTTATTTACTCTATTTTTTTTCACTCTATTTTTATGTTACAAAGATACTTTAACTTGTTCATAGGAATATTGAAATAACGGACATATGGAAAACAGCATCTAGCAATGTAAAGCATTTCTTCCTGATTTTCGAGAACACGGATTCACACTTGGGCGCGGAAGTCATTCTTGATCTACATAAAATCAGCAGCTTGCAAATACGTAGGGTGACTTCCGACAACGAACTATTGTGCGTAATGAATAAAGTTACCAAGTTCCCAACTTTGATAGCCTTTGGACGCAATGAATCACAGAGGATTGTCAGCGTGAGAATACCGACGAGGCAGGGAATTCGGCAAGCTATTAAGGATTATGTAATCGCGAGAGGAGTGAATATCGACGAGATAATTACAACAGTGTCGCATAATACTGTGCACGTTGTGGGAATCACACATCAAACGACAATCGCAACGATTATAAAGAATCACCAAGTGGTAGAGGAACAATTACAATCGTCGAAAAACACCAATGATTATTTGTATCAAATTGATCTAGAGAATGCGCTACGTTATTCAATCAATCATGAGATATCAATGATGAAGTCAATAGATGGTGAGAAAATGAAGGCATTACGGAAATATCTTGTGGTGTTAGCGACGTATTTTCCTCTGCGACGTAATAACGTATATTTGGAGGTGATACGCGATGTTGTCGAGAAGAAGAATGCTATGACCGGCGAAGAATTCAGCCAACTAGCGAAGACGACGGAGGAAGAAATGTCGCCGGTATACTCGAGAGCGTCCCGTCAATGGATAGGATGTAAGGGAAGTACGGATTCATATCGCGGATATCCTTGCGGATTGTGGACCATGTTTCACATGCTGACTGTAAATTTCGCATTAGAACGCAACAAAGATGTTACTCAGACTTTCTCACGGGATCCTACGGCGGTACTACGGGCGATGCATGGTTATATTGGAACCTTCTTCGGTTGCGCCGACTGTGCTACGCATTTTCTGGAGATGGCCAACAAAAACAAGATATTCAACGTGCGCAACAAAGATGAAGCAGTGCTCTGGTTATGGCAGGCACACAATCGGGTAAACGCCCGATTGTCAGGCGACGATACGGAGGATCCCGAGCACAAAAAGATACAATATCCCGCGGCTGAGCACTGCCCGGTATGCAGACACGTTAACAATAGCTGGAATGAGGAGGAAGTTTTACGTTATCTAAAAGTCAAATATGGCTATAATAGCATCAAGTTCGATGAAATCAGCGCTTCTGATGAAGTAGATATGACTAATGGCAACGACTCGAGAATGAGGCTAGAAAGACTCGCCAAGGAAACGAAGCGCGCCACGGCTTTTGGTTGGGACTTGAACATATTCGATATCAGCATCTGCGTGGTGTTGTACGTTACCTCTGCCGCAATACTCATATTAGTATGCATCAAGTTTGCCGTTAAAAGGACATATAAGAAAAAAAGTCACATTAATCTACTGTCCAAAGTATAATCTTTTTTCTTATACTTTACACTCTATGCGTATAATCGTGTAACGTGTTTCTGGACCAGCAAGTATCACTGAGACACTCAAGTTCCAAGATAACTCTTATTTCAAATTCTTAGGTTGTGATATTTTCCAGCTATAATAATCATTCCAAACAAACAAAAGGCGACAAAAGTCGAATTTGCATTTGGACGAATGCAATTCAAGAATTTTTGTGAATTAAACTGATAGCGCCAATAGCGAAACAAATAGTATCGATGATAAGAAACTGATCAAAGTGGACTTAAGCTCTAAAATAATTCAAAATACATACATACTCTCTCTTTTTCTTTTTCGATTCCAAGTAAAGAAACGTTTAATCAGAATCAGATGTTTTGCAGATTATATAAAAAATATATTAAAATTTTTTTACTGAGAAAAACAGCATGCATTTTATATCAAATGCTCTCAAAACCAGACGATATATTCTTTCGCGTGTTTTTCTAAATGAAAATTGAAATGCGATTGATTATAAAATTCTCTTTAAAATTTTCCAACTAACGATTATATGTACTTTGTAATATTGCCTTAAAAACTCGTCCAAAGAATATATCTTTATTATCAACTTTTTGAGAAGTGATTTCTATTATATTTAGATATTCGCATTATTTTGTAAAAGATATAGAAATATAGATGTATGTCTGATTATAATATATGAGGATAGTTCGAAAAGTTCTTAGCCTGATGCTACAAATATCAACCTGCTATAATTTTAAACAAGTTTGATAGTCTTTTACAAGACTATTGTTGAAATTTGAGACAGATGCGTTCATTAATTTCTTTGTTTTGGTTGTGTGAAGCAATCAACTTTTGGTTGCGTCATGACAATGCACCCGCTCATTTTCTTCAATTACAGGCGCAAAATTTCATGAATTGCTCCCGTAAACACCATTTCACCAGATTTCACATAATCTTTTATCATTTCTGTGTCAGGATGAGAACTTTTCGAACTATCCTTCTACAAAGACAAGATAAGAATGACTCAAGTACATAATTCATAAAGTACATTCGATTATTTAATATCACTACATGTACAGAATGTGTGTTCTCTCATCATGCTATAGCATGTTAGAGATTATATGCATTTATAATTATGAAACCAATATGTCATAAAAAATAATGCGACTGTTTAACGCTTCTTTATCTGAAAGCGACGTGATTGATCGTAAAATAATTTTCTCTCGGAATATTATTATTATTATTATTATTATTATTATTATTATACATTATATTGGAAACTCTAAACAGTATAAAATCACAATACAGTTAATTACCACAGTATATCAGGTATCGAAAAATAATACTCTACTATTGTATTCTAGCTTCAAGCGCTTCCTGAAATTTTTACATGCGCCTTCCTTTTATATTATTTTATATAGTTCGTTTACACTTTATATTATTTAACGCATGAGAAGCTACCATTTAGGAATAAATGAGTGTTCAGATAAGGAAAAAATTGTACAATTGCTAATATGTCAGATCAAAATGTCAAATCATATAATCTCTGGTTGCCATCATGTAATTGTAAATTCGAGTAATCAGAGGCTATGTTCCAAAATTTACTCTAAGCGCTGAAAATTTATTTAGCTCACATGACGTACACTACATATTTTCAGTACTAGCAGCGAAGTTCAGGAAAATGATGAGAGAGATCGTATAAAAGATTATGGTTGTGAGCTACAAGTTATAAATGTCTATGCCGATAAAAATCGATCTTTTATGAATATTTAATTTGTAAATAGATATCCAAGAAAAATTGTTTTTTCTTTTACTGATTATGTATATAAACCACCGTCTTTCTTATATGTACAGTTTTTTAATAAAATACTCGTATAATTAAATATTCTATTATCTTTAAAGATAACAAGTAACAAAAATCGACATGCTTCATAAATTATTTCAAACAATCGTAATTTTCTTAAAAAAATAATATATTAGACAATTAAGGATTGATTGTTCCTCCTTTCGGTAAATTTTACGAGTTGTAATAGATAACTAGCAAGATTATCCATAATCATACGCATAGATTGCCAAGACTTCTTAGTGTATAAAATTTATTAAAAGGTGGAACAACCAGCTCTAAGAAAGTCAAAAGAAAGTTGGGAAATTTTTGACGTATTCATTCAGCTTTATCATAAAAGAAGACAATTAATATTAATAATTAATGTAATTTTAGATATGCCAAAAAATATATATATGATGATTTGTGTATATATATACTAAATAAAATTGTATAATATTGTGTTTGATATAAATCTTGTTTACAACATAGATAGTTATACAGAATAGATGATACGCTTTATAAAGTATAATAAATTATTAATTACTTCAGTTACCACAGTAGTATGCTTTATTTAAAAAAGTCAAAGTCTTTTTAATCATTGAAATTAGTCTGTTCTTTGACCATCAAGATATCTTGGATACTCGTTAATATTTGTAATACATTTCATAATTTGAAAAAAATCATAACACTTAATCACAGTAATTCAATCTTTTTTCAAGCACAAGTGATGCCATGAAACTCCATCGTGAGGCAACTGTGACTTTATATAAGGAAGCAGCAATGTTAGATACCACCGTTCTCCAAATACCTCTCTAATGTTGTCCTTCCAACCCATATTGTACGTAAAATCTTTCCTGTTGCTCTCATTGCCCACAACACCCCTGAGAATCAAATTAAAGTGATAAATGCACAACACTCCGGTATATAAAGTGCCCATCGCCGACATGACGTACAGCAACAAGTAGAATTGATCGATGGAGCTATCGAAGCCAAAGAAGAAGATTGCAACGGGAAAGACCATCTTGATGATAGACATTGGAAATTCGAAGGGTATCCTGCTCCAAATGAAGAGACTGCCGTAGTAGAAAGCATACGCTGCACCAAGGAACAAGTACCACAGGAACATGACAAAGTATCTATGATTGTAATAGCCTATGCAACAGCCAGTGAACACGCAGTGGTGATCGCGTTTGAGGATGCAGGTATCACAGGTGTTGCAATGCCACGAACGTGGCGGTGACAAGCATTCGCAGGCTGCGCAAAGCCTCCAACCATCCGCTGGCTTCGCAGTGCTTACTGATACTATCTGCCCAGATCCACCGGTGCTGGTATCACACAGTACCGTATATGTAAAGTTACCTACGATATTCAACATAATGAAGTTGCCAAGGACGAAATGGAACATGTACGTCAAGCTCTCGTCCTTGTACAATTCTGGCAGAACTATCCACAATCCAAACCAGTACATGAGAGGTACTACAATCAGGACGAAGGCCATCGATAGCAGATCGCTAATAGTCCGCGGCCACATTTTTTTCCGGATTATCATCGTAAAGCGAGTTCGTTTCTCTTAAATTACATTAATTTCAGCCTTCCTTGCTTTTACTGTCGTTCCTTAATTATCTTCTTAGAACATTAGAAATATAACTAATCACCGGATCACCGGATCACTGACAAGCTCCCAAAGAGTACGTCTCTCTCTCTCTCTCTCTCTCTCTCTCTCTCCCTCTCTCTCCCTCTCTCTCTCTATTCTTTGGTTATTTAAATATTGTGCGCGATCGTGTGCGCATAAGCGTTAAGATACAGCCACAATAGAAGGAATAAGGAATAACGATTCCAACCTATCAGAAACAGTTTATTCCGGTGTATCCGAAATATCTGATAGGTTAAAATCTTTATTCTTTATTCCTTCTGCACCCTTATAAGAGGAGTTTTGCAATTTGAACGCCGTTTACCGAACACCACCAATATCATTTCAGAATCCTGATTTTGGTCGCATTTTCTGAAAACATAATTCGATTTCTGCCCTGATCTCTATTCATGAGAACTAATAACCAAAAATTTTTCGCAAATAAAAATGGATTTACATGGAAAAGACAAAGGCAATATTAGTTTACCACAACGTCTTCAGCCCATCAATTTTAATGAAACCAAATTGGAAACTGTTATTGTAAACACGCAAAAATGTTTTTACGACTTAAAAATTGCTGAAATTAATAAAAGAATTCAAAGGTATTTACAAAAAACATTTTTATTATTTGATATTGGTGTGTGTGTGTGTGTGTGTGTGTGTGTGTGTGTGTGTGTGCGCGCGCGCGCGCGCGCGTGCGTGTGTGTGTCATGTATGTGTATAGCATTGTATAGTTCTAATAATCTAATATATAGTCATTTAACATAAGTGAATAGCAAACAGAAGAGAAAGTGATAATTTAATTAAAAATTATTCTAATAACTGTTGTATTATTTTATTATATCCAAAATTCTACAATATAAATAAAGTAACTACATTTATTTTAGTATTAAATTTTAAATTTTTTAAATAGTTTAGAAGAACGGAATAGAAAATTGGAGAATAATTTAGAAGATATGCATTATTTTATTAAAACTTTACAAGAAGAAAAAACACAAGAAATAAACAGTTTAAAATCACAAATAGCTTCTTACATTACTACAATAAATGCATATAAGCATCAATTGATTACTCTCGAAAAAGCAAGGAATGATGATAAATATACTCACATTGCAATAACTATAAACATTGATGAAAAATATAAAAATACGCGAATTACGCTCATTTCGCAAATTAAACTTTTGAGTAATTATATTTTATTATATATCTTGTATGATTATATGGTTCGGCAAAAAAAAAACATTAGAACGAGACTACAGTCATTTTTTACAATTTTTGGACTCTGACGAGATACTATTAAAGACGATCGATTCTTATGGAAGTTTGCGTGAATGTTAAAATTTAAATCATTTAGAATAAGAAACTGATAATACGGTACTAATTCCGTACTGATTCGGTACTGATTTATTAGCTTCATAAATATGTATGTTTAAAACTCAATAATACTTGATTTTTATTAAAAACTAAGATTTTAATGTTATCACATACTTAGAAGTTTGATTATTATTATAATATAATAGAAATGATAATTTCAGAGAAAAAATTGTAATTTTTTGGCAATATACAAGATATTATAATATTAAAAGAATACTTCTTTACAACACTTATAATAAAAAAAAAAAATCATGAATTTAATAATGTATTATCGAAATATTTATGTTAATCATCACAAATTTTTATTAATTGTCAATAATCATCGTTCTTCAATTATTCCCGGGCCTCTGGGGCTCCATTGATAAATTTGCCCAGGATCAACCGTTTTTAATTAAAGTATCTCGTTGGTGCAGATACCCATGTATCTGATACCCACTTTTGATGTCATTTATTTAGAATATTTTAATTTTTATATGTTAAGGTGCCAAAACTAATATTTTAGAAGATTACAAATCCATGCAACATATTTTGGAAAAAAAACTAGATATGAGAAATCAATTCTTAATTAATGAAAAAGAACAGGTAGCAAAAAACTTGTATAAAATTGAATATAAATTCAAGATTGACAGAGAAAGGTAAATATAAATTTTGTTTCCTTATTGCAAAGTTATAGGAAAATTATGTAAATAAAAAATTATGTCTTATTTGTAATGTATCCTATATAATAGGTTCAAAAAGGAATTATATAATCATGTGTTGAATCTAGTTAGTATATTTCAAGTTGAAATATTAAATCATATGCCATGTTCTATACCCAATTTATTGTCGGAAAATATAGCTGTAAAGAATCAGTTGTCAATGATCATGGAAAACGCAGCTTCTAAAACACAAGACTACAGCCTGCTCTCGTAAGAGAGAGAGAGAGAGAGAGAGAGAGAGAGAGAGAATGTTCTATTTGAAATTTAATTCAGATATAATTATCTCCCATTGTTCGTTATTCCAAAAAAATGTTTCAAGTGGAATTTACTTTCGAGGGGAACATCTTTTGATAGTCACAGATCCTCTCTAGGTAGACTCCAAGATTTTAAGGTAACTTTTATTTTTTTTAATATAATTTTAGTTTTTTTTACATAAAACAATTCCTCTAATTATTCTGCATACAAAAAAATATTAAATACTTCATAATATATCAATCTCTTTTATAATCCTTAATGCTTTTATGAACAGAATAATGAGATGAATTGCAATGGTGTAAACAAAATTCATAGTTGCTTTAAAAAAAATAGGTAATTTTTGAAATAAGTAATTATGAATTTTTTTTACACCAACTGATTCATTTTATTCTGTTCATAAAAGTATTAAGATATGATTGTAAACAAATTTAATAGTTTACGAAATATTTAATATTTCATATCAATATGTGCGAGAACAAAGTATAAAATATCGGAAGGATTCCGATAGCACACACCCACTCACCTCAGCCAGTGCTTAATAATTTTTCATTGCTTTACTAATGAAAATATTTTATTTTAAATTGGCCAATCAGCTATATACGCTATCGAATCTCTCTCTAAAATGTTTTGTAGATTATTGATTTTTTGATATCTCTATTTTAATACTTTTATATACAGAATAATTAAAGGAATCTCATATTATGTAAAAAAAACTATTAAATTTAAAAAAATAAAAATCACCTTGAAATCTTGGAGGTACGTCCATCTACGGAGAATCTGTGACCATTAAAAAGATATTCCTCTCGAAACAAAGTATCACTTGAAACATTTTTTGGAACAATGAACAGTTTAGGAGATAATTACTTCCAAAAGCTACAAATAGAATATCTATATATGTTTAAAAGTCTATTTTTAATTTAACGTATTTTTATAAATTACATTGTGACATTTATTATTTCGTAGAAATGCAGCAAAAGAACACAAAAGAGAAATTCGTAATATACATTTACGCACGACAAGATCTACAGTAATTTCTGAATTAGAAAAATCTATAATCACAATGTTACGTAATATTCGCAAAGTAGCGAATGTTAATTTATCCAAATTAGACAAATTTAATTATTTCACTGAAGAGCAATATATGATGAATAAAGATAATGCTAGAATTCTAGCGGACAAATGTGAGATACGCTTGAAAAATATAGAACTGTTACTTTACTGCGAAAAAGAAAAACTTAATAATGCAAAGAATCAAAAGAGATGGTTATCTAATCAATTGCAAGAACAATTGCAAATTTTATACGACGTTAAACATGTGTTAAAACAATTCAAAATAAATGATCATGAACAACAAAAATGAGATTTAAAAGAATTTAAGTAAAACTAATCTAAAAGATAACTAAAATGAAGTGTAACAAAATAAATCAAAATCGAATAAGAAATAAAAAATTATGAAAGCAGAGAGAGAGAGAGAGAGAGAGAGAAGACGGGGGGGGGGGGTTTTAACATACCTATTTACGAAACTAATAAATCATAAAATTAGTAATTTATCAATTATTATATCAATTATTTAATTTACCAATTATTATCAATTATTTATTCATATATATTAACGAATTCAGTCACTTGTACTACGCTGTTAGTGCATACTAAAAGTTATTATACATGAAATTAGCAAAGTTAAATGTAAACTTAATATATACATTTTTTTAAACAATTAACAATCTACTAATGATATTGTCACGTTATTTAACAAAATATATATGTATCATTTCATTATCAAAGTTGATTATATTGTATCACTGCATTGAGATATTTTAGATAAAACAGCTTTCAATATACACTGATCCAATGTAGTACGAGTGATTGAATTCACTATTAATCACTTAAATTTTAAGTTATTCAAATTTTCGTAAGATTGGCCGTCTTTAATAGTATCTCGTATCTTCAATCTGTCTTTGAAATTATATAAGAGTCATGTAATTATTCCTATTTACACAGGTATTAAATTCTCTTTATTGTAAATCACATAGTTCTTTTATAAACTATATAATGTCACCTAAGTTTAGTTTATGATCCGGCTTCACAAATTTTTTCATTTTTGCTTTGTCTCGTTTCCTAAAAAAAGAATATTACAAATAATATAATAAAAACCTTTTATATATATATATATTATAATATATAAAAAGAACCACGATATTTCTGAAATGATCTCAATCAAATTGTTCTGAGATATTGTAGTTCTTACAAACAATCAATAAATGATTGCGTTCAGGAACATTTAGCTATAATGCTGTTCGATGAAAAATTACATTTTTTCTAACACTGGAACAAAACTGGTAATTTTTTAAATAGTTTTTTAGATGCTGAATACGAATACGGAATGTTTTTCCAAATTGCACCATCACATCACAATTAAGAAAATTGCAATTCAATTTGCAAAAAAGAGCTATTTTTATGTATTTTGTCGTATTATAACGATAATGTATGATATATAGGACAAGTTTTATTTAATTTTATTTTATCAAAATTAACTATATTATTAAGATTTTCAGCCTTCAAAAGAATATTTTAATGTCGGTTAGTTAATGTTCATATTGATATTCATATTGACATTCAGTTAAATATGGGGTCTATTTGCAGAAAAATTGTAAATTAAGTTGATCCACGTGCGCACGCACGCAATATCAAAATTAATAAATTAAAAATCGTAAAAGATATTTTTGTAATAATCCCACATTTTTCAAGCCTTGACATCGGTCATATTGAATTTACTATTTTAAATTTGTTAATAAATTAGTTTACACCGATTCATGTGCTATGCAATTACTTTCTATTAAACATCAAAATGATTAATTTAAATACATACATATATCATGTATATGTTTACATGTATTGCCAAAATTAAGATAATTTAATAGAAAATTACTAGTTAGTGCCTGTATCAATAAAAACTAGATCAATTTTTACATAGGATTTATATTCAACGATCAAAAAACTCTTGAAATTTAAATTAATATTGTCGAAAAACTTGTTAGTAAATCGTCAATCGGGCTTTGTACTTACAATTTTATAACGGCTGGTGCAACAATGTTTCTCTGTTGAAGCGATTTGTATCGTTCTTTTAATAAATTGTTAGAAGGTTTAAAATTTCTCAAATTGCCAGTCAATTCTTCTGCAAGCTGGAAATCAGGATCAATAGGTTCAAACTTCGTCTTACTCAGAGTTTTTGGCATAAGAGATTCGCTCTCGCGTTTCTTCGTTCGCTTTTGTCGCAAGGATTCTTGCTTTCTCTCCTTGGCCTCTATCTGTTTTTGCAGAGTCTTTAATTTATAGATATCAGAAATTTTTTTTTTCTCAAGTTTCATCAATGTACGTTCATTAATTGCTTGTTTTTGTTCTCGTTGTTTTCTTTTTTGAACAAGTGTCTTTTTAATATTCTTTTTAGACTTATTATTTGCTATTGTGATAGATGAATTTTCTTCTTCATGATCCTCCTCAATAGACTTAAAACTTGATGTGGTTTGATTCTTTGGCAAACCTTCTAACATTTCTTTCATCATATTTTCATCTCTTTTCTGTAATGAAATCTGAACAAGCAAATAATTCGATATTACAAATTCACATTCAAAAAATATAAAATATGAATTAAAGGAATATCTAAATTAAAAATATTAGCAAAGCTAATATTTTATATTAATAATGTAAAAATATTATTTATTGAAAATGGGAAAACATGAAATCATATCAATATTGAATGTAAATAAAAAAGGAAATAAATTTTATATTATAATAACAACATAAAATAAAGATTTATAAAAAATAATGATAATATGATAATATAATTTACTTTTTTAAACATTTGAGTGGTGACCCTGTTCAAATGTTCATCTTGCTTCATAAGCTCCAATTCTTTCTGCACAATATTGTGCAATAATTCCTGGTGATCATTATATGATGGATTATAAGATGTACCTGGATGTGGAGTCTCCACTGCAGGTAAAACAGATGGCTTTTTGCACAATAAGGGTAATTTTCTTTTTTTAATTCCTAAATGCTTCAGTGTATGCCTAATGCTGTTTGATGACATCCATTCAGTGATTGTTTCTGGAATTAAGACGTTTATGCTATTCCATATATCCTCTTTAATCTCTTTGCTCTTGGAACGATTTATTGAAGCAATCTTTGCCAGTATTCTATTCTTTAGTGCTTCCTTCTCTTTTAATTTAAGAACACCCTTCACTTGCCTTTCTACTTCACGTTGACGTAATATAGAATTCATACGTTCTTCTTTAGTTCTTACTCGGTTTCTTTTAGAAATTGGATCTGGGACACATGTATGTGACTTCAAAGAAGCAAAACATCTTGGTTCCTTATTTTTCAATGCTAATCTGGCAGCACGTTTGGAAATTACATTTTCAGTCACATCAGCAGTTTTATCAATGCTAAACAATTGAGTATCTATACGCTTAGAAAAAGGAGTACCCAATCGTTCCTCTAATCTATTGTTATCAAGAAATGTATCTACATCTTTGATATCAATATACTTCCTCCATGATCTTTTTGTCTTCTTAGAGGCTTTATGCTTTTTAGTTTTCACATCAAGCATCTCTCTAAAAATAAATTTTATATATTTATAATATAAAATATGTAATATATCACATTCTAATGTTAAATTCTGATTTGGTCAGTTTTTAATTTTAATATATAATGCCTAAAGAGTTAAAACACATATACAATATTAACATTCTTGATTTCTATCTTGTTATCTGGAATAATTCCTTAAATTTTACTGAACATCCTGCATGTATGTATTCTCTGCTTTAAAAATACAAATTCTCTGCTTTAAAACACCAATTCGTTGCTTTAAAAACAAATTTTTCACTGTAAAAATAAAAATGATACAAAAAATAATTTGTTTTTAAAGCAGAGAATGATAATTGTTGAATTTAGCCTCCTTAACTCCGATGTTGATAAAATTAGGCTCATTCGTGTTTTTGCACAAACGAATGAATCTGGCAAAAAGAGTCGTTCTACCCTGCAAACCTAGATATTAATTGTTATTAAAGTTGATGACTATTCAAGTTAGGAAATCTGTCACAGTTGTGCAACGATGCAACAGTGCAAAGTGAGCAATGTATGCATACTTTTCGTCAATTTTCATGCTCACATTGCACTGTTGCATCGTTGCATGAAATCTTCAAATATTTTGCACTTAAAATGAGATAAATACATATTTTGCCTTAAAAAAAGAGAAAGCGAAGATTTCGAGTGTTAAAAATGCAAGCAACGCGAACAGACTTTATGACAGACTTTCTAACCTGAATAATTATCAACTTTAACTTTAGTCTAACTAAATATCTGGCTTCGAAGAGCAGTCTCGCATCTTTTTTCTACCAGATTCTTTCATTTTGTGCAAAAGCGCGTCAAATGAGCCCAATTTCATCGAGATCGAAGGTGAGGCAGTTTATCTAAATAATTATCAAAACTTTTTGCAATACCATGTGAATGAGGAAATATTTTACTAGTAATCTAACCTCATCGTCATTAAAGAAGTAATAACAGCAATTCTGCAATTTCTATTATTTTTTAATATCAAGTTTCCTAATGTATGTAACACGGCTAGTCTTTTATTTATGTAATGAATAAAATCTTTTTCTTAATAAATCCTCTATTTAGTTTTCTGATATAACCCACTCTGAACAGTGAACAGTGCGACCTGAAGAGAGAAAAACCAGAGAGAGGACACGACGACCCAACCGCAAAATGCTACTGCGCACCGTCCTCTAAAGAAGTGGATGTTAACTATACAGCAATTTCCACTTATTTGCAATGCTCTCCTGATGGAAATAAATCGCTGAAATCGTTGAAATCTTTATTAATTCAATAGATTTTAGTTATTTTAGTGATTTCAACTATTTATTTCTATTCTATTTCAAGCATCGTAAAAAGATGGATATTGTTATGTAGTTAACATCCACTTCTTCAGAGGGCGGTAGTGCGCGGCAGCACTTTGCGATTACAGGTTTTGATGAAGCATTATAATGGTTCCGCCACATCAGCACGATGTTCGTCGAGCGCGACACGCGATATCCACAATGAGTGTACAGCTTTACCGATATTCTCATTCTAAAGGTACACTGTCATTGGATGTCGCGTGTCACGCGCGGCGAACATCACGCTGGCGGAGGCATAAAGCCAGTTCTACATTAGTTGCAAGCCGATCGCAAGCTTGTTGTGACAGCCAATCTGAAGCTTGCATTTTGAAATCAGACGTCAATGTTAATTGTCGCAACAAACTTGCGATCAGCTTGCAACTAATGTAGAATCAGCTTTACATATACTATATATTTCGAGTAAAATTTTTCTCAGAGAGGAAGTTTTGAAACATAGCCCTAATATTTCCTCCATTGTGCGCAGGGCCTAAAGGGAGTGGTGGTGGTGACTAATTACTGTAGGTTAGGTTAGGTTAGACAACTTTTAATCCATATTCGTTTTCATAAAAGGTCATATCACGTTCGCTGAGATCGGATTGGCTGTTTACTTAAAATCTGATAAGATTAATACAGAATATAGGTAATTGACAGGATATATCTGCTATGTGATAGGTAGTGTTTTAGTCTCATTGTACTGTTCGTAATTTAGTAAATATTTGCGTTATCAGGTACTTCATGGTTGATTGATTGAGCAAAAATTATAGTCGAGTAGTCAAATATTAATATTATTTATAATGTATATTAAACAATAATGTACATTAAAAATCGATAAATAGCAGAGTGAGAGAATGGCTAAGGTCCAATTTTTCAGTCTTTGTTTAACTTGTGTGTTAACTTAAATTTAACCTAATGGTCATGTAATCATAAAAATAATTATGAATGAAGGAGACGGGCTTACTCATCTTCATGGATTTCGATGAAATTAAGCTCATTCGACGTATTTTGTACGAAATTTTTCTACGAATCTGGCAAAAAGAAGTGCTGGTCTCTGCCCTGTGGACCGAGGTATTAATCATTAAAGTTGACGACTATTGAGTTTGGAAAATCTGTCACATCGATAGCATAGAAGGATATGAGAATCTGTAAGTTAAAGCTAGATTAGGTATTTTCTGCATCAAAATACGCGAATTCTCTACTTTAAAAATAAGTTCTCATCAACTGTAAAAATGAAAGTTATATAGAAAATAATTTGTTTTTAAAGCAAGGAATTTGTTTTTAAAGTAGAGAATTTGTGATTGTAAAACTGAGAATTTGTGTAGCCCTCTATATCATCGATATAACAGTTTTCCTAACTTGAACGTAACCTGAACTTGAACTTTGCGTAATATCTCGATTCGCGGGGGCAAAGCGACACTTTTTCTACCAGATTTGTTCATTTTGTGCAAAAACGCGTCGAATGAGCCTAATTTCAACAAAATCGGTGAGTAAGCCTGTCTCCTTCATAATTACCAAAATAAGTACATGTTTGAAATTTAACGGAAGTGAAAAGTAAAGTTGTATACTGCAGTTTTATGCACCAATAAAAAAACAAACCCATTATTGAATAGCGTATATCAAATTTACAATATTTCTATGAACCTACATATATTATTTGTTTTAACGCGTTTTTAATAGTGTTCCAATAATAGAGATTATTGTGTAAAGCAAATTGATTGTAGGCGAATAGAAAAACAAGATAGCTAGAAGTGTTTGTCAACGTTAAAACATAATCGTCTTCTTCCATTAAAATATGCCAGGGTAAGCATCTCCTCTCTTTGAAAAATATTAATTTTTTTGCATAAGTATAGGATGCAACTGTGTGTAACAGAAATTATCTTCTGTTTTCCTGATAACATACAAAATGTGTGTAAATACCCAGATAGCAAATTGTGTCTCTCGGCAACATCGTACAAATCTGTGATTGTTTATGATACTAGCAACTTGCATAATAGGTATAGATAATATTAATTGTCTTCAACAATCTGTATATTTCGAATATACAGATATTGTAGCAACATGCAGGCAACAATGTGTATATGTATTGCTAGCTTAATGCAAGATAACTGCATCAATGTTACCTTTTCATCAAAATCGGTGAGTAAGCCTGTCTCCTTCATAATTACCAAAATAAGTACATGTTTGAAATTTAACGGAAGTGAAAAGTAAAGTTTACTCAATGTCAGCAATGTGACAGCAATATTGTGTGATGCTGTATATTATAATATTATGGCAACATGACAGCAATAGTACGAGTTTTAATGATGACAATTTTTAAGTTGTCAACAAGTTGCTACTCAAAGTTGTCAAGGCATTAAGTTTCCAACAAATGAGGACTTATAGCAGTTGCTGCAATTTCTGTAGCAATGTGTATTTAGCAATCAATATGCCAGCAACAAAACAGACACGTTGCTACCTGGGCTAATTATCTATCCAAATAAATTTATAGAATTAACATGATTATACATATTTACAACACGCTTTGGCTCAACTTCTGTACACTACCCAAACTCAATTTCAATCAAATTTTACAAATGTAATACTAGGCCTGTTCTTTTTCCACACCAAGTTCTGAACTAGTGTACATTGATGCAGTAAATTAGAGTGGGACAGGTATAGTTTGTTTCACTCTCACTCTCTCTCACTCTCTCTCTCTCTCTCCCTCCAACATATTGCACTAGTTTAGAATTCTTCGAAAAAGAACGGAACTAAATGTAATCAAATTCATAAATGCAGAATTGTGGAAATGCTTAGTTTTCAAAATATTCAAAGGGTTGAAATTTTCAAGGATTTTTACTACTGTTCGAGGATTGTTATTTTTATGTTTCTTTATGTATTTTTCTTCGTAAAGATTGAAAATAGTCATTATAACAAGATTTAAGGAAAAATTCGTACATTGAAATGAAGTGAATAAAATCCTTATTCGCATATCGTTATAAAATCACTATCTCAGTTATACTTCAATAATTCATTTATGAAATTATTTCCATATTAAATCAAATGTGAATAATGTTGCACCACAAAACGTTAATTAGATTATATTTTTCATTATAACATTTATCTCGATACTGTTTTTCCTCCACTTCAAGAGACGCATGATGTCTGGAGTGGGAGAAACGGTACCGAGAGATGTGTGACAAATGTTATAATGAAAAATATAATTACACAAGAAAATATACATATAAAACGATATTCGAGCGGTAGCGAACATTTCTACCTTCCTTTTATTTAATCGACTCAATTAAGATTTTACATGAAAAATTAATTATAATTAATGCTATTCTGTTGACTGCATTTTATGTGAAATTATACGTACAAAATATCATAAAAAAAAAATAAAAAATGCAATATTTTATTTTTTATTTTATATTATTAATATTTAAATTTTATATTATCAAATATCTTGAAACTAACGTGGTTCTAATATTAACACATATAAAAAATAAGAGCATAAAAAACTACAGCACAAGTTATAGTTTGTGATATATAATTATTATTACATTAATTAAAACATTAAACGTTTCGGCCACAATCTGGCCATCTTCAGTAATTCAATAATATTCTTCAAACGCAGAGTTATCTAGTTGACATTAAATTCAACCGTCGTGTGTTGCAATTAAATAAACGTGTTCTTTTCTGTGAAGATGCTTTCATACAATAATGTTACAACGCCAATTGTCATATCACGAAAAGTGTAGAACAAGAAATCGTTACCTGTTTTACAGCCAAAAAACTGAGCGAAGAATATCAAATGACACTTTTACACAGTTAGAATTTTGTCGTGACATTATGTGTTGTTGTTTTTATGTGTTGATATTTTACCACTATTTATATATCTGAGTCAAAATTTTTAGAAAGTTCTAGAAT